AAAATAAAAGTTGTGGGGGTAAAGTGGAAAAAAGAGCTGTCAATTTCACGGCATTCATGGAGGAACAACATTATGGTGAGAGGTGGTGGGTGTAATTTTTTTTCCCCACTTTAACCCTCACCTCACTTATTCATTTCCCTCCCCCCACCTCCACTCCCCAAAACCTTGTTTGAGGGGACTATTCATCTTTTAATAAATTTTCCTAAAAAAAAAAAATAATAATAATCAAACCAAATAAAAACAGATGAGAAAACCAATCTAATATATCAATAATTAGTTATTTGTGTTTTAATAAAAAAAAGATAATTAGCCTGCTGCTTCTTGCCAGGCTAGGCTAATTTCTCATGGATACTTATTTTCTTAATGTACTCGAATCATAGGACAACTTGGGTTAAGGGCAACATGGTAAAACCAAATTTGGAGTTAGCATTAGAGAAGTTAGTAATGTATATTTTATGTTGAAATTATGAGTTAACTATAATTCAACTGTTTTATATGACTAAAATTATTTGTCGATTTTAGTTTTAGTAAATGATTGTTTTAATTAGACCGCGTGTACAGTGTACTGTACGATTTCAAAAATACTTTATAGAAACATCAGTTAATTACTTGGATACTATTAATTTAATTCCAATCATGACGTTTAATGATAAGAACCATATTTTTTTTTGTTATATCTAATAATAAGAAAACAATTAATTAATTTTGAGGTGGTTATAGTATGAACATGTCCACGCATGTCTTTGAAATTATATATAACCTTTGGACATATTCCATTCCCGATCGACCATTCGTCGAATATTGAAAGGAACTCATTTGAAAAATCAAATCATCACATTTCCTTTCTACAATTATCGGGGTTAATCAATTGGAAAAGAATAATATATTGGATTAGAGTATTCCCTAAATAGTTTTTTTTTACATATAATGTTATGATTGGAGTTCGAACCTTGATTCCCTAAATAATATTTTCTCCTTCCGTATTTTGGATTTTTTTTTAACTCATTTCTGTTGCACTCACCTTCCTCATATTTCTACTATTTGTTTGTATTAACACCCTTTTTACGGTAACTACTTGGCTATTTCTGTATTCTTTGGTACTATAAATATTCAGGGATTTCCTACCATAACTTGAAGTAAGGTAACTTGAATTTTTTTACCTGCTATAGCAGATTTCACAGGTCATATTACGTAAAATACAATAGGCATTACGTAATGGTTACGTAACATATGATAATCTTACGTAACAGTTGTAAAAGATCATTACGGAAGTCTAACGTAATAGAATGTGTCTTTACGTAATGAGTATTAACCTCGCGTTACGTAAAATGCTAAGTCATTACGGAAGCCTTACGTAACGCTACTGATTTAACTGTTACGTAAGAAATAACTGTCGTAACGTAACCTTTACGTAATGGAAGGTCTTTTTACGTAATGAGTATTAACCTTGCGTTACATAAAGTGTTAAGTCATTACGTAGTGAATGTGTATTTTACGTAACAGTTGTAAAATATCTTTACGAAAGCCTTACGTAATGGAAGGTCTCTTTACGTAATGAGCATTAACATCATGTTACGTAAAGATCTAAGTTATTACGGAAGTCTTACGTAACACTTCTAATTCAATAAGAATTAAAAAAGGAAAGAATAAAATACGGAAAACAACTAAATTTGAAATGGAAAGGGAAAAAAATAAGAATGGTAAGTTGTGTAGTGGTGACCGGCAACCCCTGTTGCCTTTTATTATCTTACTTATTTTTTTATTTATTATTTCTTTAATCAATGATTTAAATTAAGTTTGATAGATTTTAACGGTTTAGATCTATACAAGTTACCTAACTTGAAATTATACCCAAATTACTGTAGGAGGTCCCTAAATATTAAGAAGACTGATTAGTTTTTCATGGTGCGAGGGTAAACAATAAGCTTAAAAATGAGTTAGCTTCTTCTTGGCCTATGTACTCTTCTCTCCATGATGTATTTTCTTGTTGTAAACTAATGCTTTCTCGATTACTGTCTTACACCACCAGTTATTCTCGTCGGATGTAGTCCAACTTTAGACTCTCCTATGCTGTTATTCTCTCATTGGCCATGTTGCCTGCTCGTCTCATATAATGCAGATAATGGTTGACTCCAATTCAAATATGGTTCATGCTCTATAGTATGAATGAGATCAACTAGTTCTCACCTGGATTACTCTTTCTCCTTTTTAGGTTTTGATGTCGAGTATTATCAATGAAATCACTAGTCTTGTTGTAGCATAGAATTCACTTGCTGTTATCTTTGAACTGTGTCAAGGGTAGAGGGTTTTGTTCATAATATTGGTCATCCCGGCCTCGAAAAGAGAATGAGTAATCCAGGAGAAAACGAGTTGATCTCGTTCGTACCAAAGAGCATGTGCATATTGAGATACTTGAGGCAGTCATATTCTGTGAGGCAATATGGAAATCATCAACATGATCAATGAGAATATGACAGTAGAGAAGAAGCAGTAAGCTAGTGGATCAGGAAGTGTAAGAACAAGAAGATGCAAGATATAGTAGGAAAATAGAGAATTCCAGAGAAATGAAGAAGAGCTAATTATTTTGACGTTTTATTGTTGCTCTAATACCTTCCGTTAATAAGTTGGTTTCACTCTCTTGTTCGTGAATTTGGCCATTCACTCTCATCTTCTCCTACTTTGTGGTGTGATAATCAAGACCCGACTTTTAGAAATCAAATTCCACTTTCCTAGAGAGCCAAAGTCCAACATCGAGTTCAATACCATTGTCGGTCAACTCGTTAATGTCCTTATGATCGGCATCTCATCTACCTCTTCACCAATTATAACCTTCACCTAGCTCTAAAATTTAACTTACAAGGAGTGATGAAGATTTTTCTCGCATCATCCTCCATGTATACACAGACTCGTCTACAAATACTGATATATTATTTTTGTCTTTTGTACTTCATAAATCATAATTATACAACTACATCACCTGAAGACATATTCAAGAAATCTCTACACATTCAAATATCCCCTTGCACAAAGTCTTCAGCTACTTTTCATTTTTGTCCATCAATACTTTACAAAGGATATTATTTGCTGCAAAAATTAGCTAATTAATAACTAAGAAGCTACTAAACTCAATGATTTGTTCTTAAGTAACGTCCAAATTACCCTCCAAGGCTCCAAAGAAATCGAATTCCTCGTCCCCACCACCCCCTATACCCAAAAATTTGCTGGGCAAGAGAAAACGAGAGAGCTCAATCGTGTCATCGAATATGAAAAAAGTGGGAAAGAAGGGACAAAATTATGCAAGAAAATATTATTCTAGTTGTAAATGGGGTAGGAAACTGAAAATGGCCCCTTAAACGGGAAAAAATCCCAAAATACACATGTTTTTAAAAAAAATTCTCAAAATACACACGTTATGAAAATATTTCCCAATCTACGCATGTTTGGGTCTTCACCGCGTCAGACTACGGCGGTGATTGCTTCACCGCGTTAAAGAAGAGCGGTGATTGCTTCACCGTGTTTGATAAAAACGGTGATTGCATCACCGCGGTAGACAAAAACGGTGATAGCTTCACCGCATTCAACGGCCGCGGTGAAGGCCTGACCTGCGTCGAATCTTTAAAAAAACGTAACTTTGTGCTCGGTTATCCGATCGCGATGAAATTTTTTTTTGATTTCGCATAATTTTTCGAGATCGTTTGCGGCTTGCAAGATCTCGAAAAATTATGCGGAATCAAAAAAAATTTCATCGCGATCGGATAACCGAGCACAAAGTTACGTTTTTTTAAAGATTTGACGCAGGTCAGGCCTTCACCGTTTTCCTCTAACGCGGTGATGCAATCACCGCCTTCCTCTACAGCGGTGATGCAATCACCGTTTTCCTCTAACGCGGTGATGCAATCACCGCTCTTCTTTAACGCGGTGATTCAATCACCGCCTTGGTCAAACGCGGTGAAGGCCCAAACATGCGTAGATTGGGAAATATTTTCATAACGTGTGTATTTTGAGAATTTTTTTTAAAAACATGTGTACAGTGGAATTTTTTCCAGGAAACGACCAAAGGTGACATTCCACCCAACATCAACCAAAGACCCCAAATCATTGTTCATCATTTCCTTTTCTTCTTATGTTAAAATAAGGGAAAGCGATAAGTGGCTATCTTTTCTTATGAATATATTATATATACATGTTTTCTATTATTGAAATGCTAGAAAAAATGACATTTTTGGTTGCTCTCCAACTCCACCAATCCAAATTTTAATATCTATAAATTTACATTGATATAAAATTATTACTGTATTTAGTTTATGTTCATTACATCAAGTGTAACTTAAATGGATACAATACACTTTCTATAGAAATGGGTGTTTAGATAAGTAAAAAAAGAAAAAGAAAGAGAAGAAATGAGTGTTTAGAGAACTTTCCAACCTATTTTTTATAATATCGGGATTTGAATCTTTGTATGATCAAATCTACTTGTTAAATATGATTCATTTCTCACTCATTCACCCACATGAAAGAAAAACAACCGATAATTAAGAATAAAAGAGCTACATGACGCCAAGGAAATATGTTCTCACATACAAAGTGAATGTACTGGAGAATCTAAATAAAAAAATTATAAAATTTGATTTCTCAATAAGCATATTCGAATTTGACTTGTCGATTATTTGTTACAAGGAACCGAATTGATTCGATCATAAAAGAAACTTATTTCACTCATCAAAGATGTTTATTGGTCAACCCTAAGACATAAGAAGTTGCGGCTTGTGATAGTGATTTTGTGAGTGTGGAAATTAATCTTCATTCTTCACCTCGAATTCAAATTTTGAAATTAGATTCATAAAAAAATTGAAATTAGTGATTGTTTCAAAAGAAAAAACGAAGAGCGATCGAACCGACCGAACCAAGGAAAGACCTCGACCCAACCCAAAAACCGACGAGCGGGCCCGCAGTTTTCAAAGTAGGTATCCGGCAAGAAAGACCCGGCACCATCCCCAGTTTCCACCTTTAGCTTCAGTTTTACAGCAAAAATAATACACTCTCCCTCCCGCCCGAAGAACATCTACAAGCGAAGTCACAGAAGGAAATTAGAAAAGCAGAGAGAGTACAAAGGAAGAGCGAGAGAGCATGCAATTGCAAACCCTCCTTCTCCCCCTTCTCAGCCATGTCTCTTCCACTTTTGACCCTCTCTCTTCTTCTCTCAATTCAAGTCTCCTCATCCCCTCTCTCTCACCTCCTCCACCTCCCCCACATTTGTTGACTTCCCATCATGATCATGGCGGAATCACCAGAATCATCGGTAGCGGGAGCCGGCCGAGTTGGAGCTGCAGAGGAGGAAGCTTCGGCGGCGCCCGACGTGGAGAAAGTTCTGGACTTTCTGCGCAGGAGTGGGTTGAAAGAGGTCGAATTGGCTCTTAAGGAGGATATCATCGAGAAAAACGAATTGGGTTGTGTGGATTTCGAGAAATTCTTGTTTGAGCTACCTCCGGTGAGGATTCCGCCGGCCGCTTTCCAGCAGTCGGAGGCGGGGGAAGAAGACTTCTCCGCCGGCGGCCGTGCTCCTCGTGATGGATCGAATTCTGGGTTTAGCTCCAATGATGACTTCGTCAGCTTGGGATCTTCCACCAGTGCTCTCTGCTCTTCAGGTACAACACTCTTTACTTAATTTGGACCGAGTCCAGAGCTCAGTTATGAATGAATTTTTTGTTTAGGAATCAATTCCTCCACTTTTCCGCCAAATTGATAACTCAAACCCTAAGGTATGAATCCGAATATTTTGCTACCAATTGGGAGCCTCTCTCACTCTACTTGTCTGGTTTCAACCCTCGTGTAGTTGAAGGATAAACGGTGGACCCTTTTGGCTGTCTAATTATTGCTGATCTACGGAGGTTTAGCTAAAAAATCTGAACCCTATTTGTTTTTCTGTTATATGATACGCAGAATTCACTAATCCGTATGGATTCCGGTCAGGATCGCAGCGCGATTCAGACACTTCCTCGGACAGAATGTCGCAGTTTGGCACTGCTCGCGACTACCCTGATTTCGATATGCAGAATGATCTCTTCTGGTACGATGGCAGAGGTGATGGTCGAGGTGAAGGCTCGTTCAACGATCCGCGCCTGGAATACTTTGTAGGTGTGAGCGAGGATAAGTTCGTGATGACATCTGGAGCAGAGCGGCAGCTTGAGGAGGACACAGTTGGACTGTATGACAAATCTGAAGGGTTTGAGACTGAGGCAAGCGTTGACTTCTTGGACAAGCCATGTCTTTTCGATGCCACATTAACTGCGAAAAAGGATGCTAACAAGGCTAGATCCACGGATGAACAGGATGGTTGTTTGGGGTTACTTTGCAAGTGTTGTGGAGGTGCGCGTGGTGGAAGGGTTTATGAGAAAGAACCTGTTGATTATTTGTACTTAGGATCCAAGGAAACCGATGGCTTGAATTGGTTAGAGCCAAAAGCATGGGATTTTGTCAATGAAATTAGGGAAGGAGATTGTGGAAATGAAGGGATTAAAGACCGTGAAGGTGATTTTGATCAACTGGTTCCATTTGGAGTGGATTATGATGAGCTAGGGCGTGATGAAGTGAGTGAAGCACAAAATGAATCACACCATGAGGTTCTGCCTTCTAATGAGAAGGAGGATGCAATCGATGATGAACTTATCTTGTATGAAAATGATGTTGAAGAGTGTGAAGTATTTGAACTGCGGATCATACACCGGAAGAACAGGTTTGTGGAAGCAACTAGCTGTTCTCATAATCTTCCATGAAAGAGATCTTAAAACTAGTTTTGGGATCCTGAATTATATGCTATTTTGTTTTGTTTTGTTTTGTTTTTCTGTGATGGTCATCAGGACAGGATTTGAGGAAAACAAGGACCTGCCTATTGTAAATAACACAGTAATAGGAGGCAGGTATTATATAACGGAGTACCTAGGTTCAGCCGCTTTCAGCAAAGTTGTACAAGCACAAGATCTTCACACGGGGGTAGATGTCTGCCTCAAGATCATTAAGAATGACAAGGACTTCTTCGATCAAAGTTTAGATGAGATCAAGCTTCTTAAGCTTGTGAACAAGAATGATCCGAATGACGAGAAGCACATATTACGCCTCTATGATTACTTTTATCATCAGGTATTGAATATGAATGCATTTGCATTTTGTATCTCCTCAGTGTTTGCAAACTCTTATTGTTTAGAATCCGAAACACGCTCTCAGTGTGTAAATCTTAACTGCAGGAGCATCTCTTCATTGTTTGCGAACTCCTACGAGCTAACTTGTACGAGTTCCAGAAGTTCAATCAAGAATCAGGTGCCGAACCTTACTTCACTTTAAGCAGGCTGCAGATGATAATCCGGCAGTGTCTGGAGGCGCTTGAGTATTTGCACCGCCTGGGGATCATCCACTGTGATCTGAAGCCAGAGAACATTCTGATAAAGAGTTACAGCAGGTGTGAGATCAAGGTCATTGATCTAGGTAGCAGCTGCTTTAAGACGGACACCTTGTGCTTATACGTGCAGTCTCGTTCGTACCGTGCCCCTGAAGTCATGCTAGGCCATCCATACAACGAAAAGATCGATATATGGTCTCTTGGCTGCATCTTGGCCGAGCTATGCTCTGGTGAGGTATGCCTGTCTGCCTGACAGATCAACCTGTCCAGATTTTGACCCTTCTTTAACTTACTGGCTCTAAGCTCATTTCTCGGTGGTTTACTTGTGTCGATTATTGATTTACTATCAGGTGCTGTTTCCGAATGATTCAGTAGTGATGATCCTGGCTCGGATGGTGGGGGTTCTTGGTCCTTTCGACATTGAAATGCTGGAGAATGGCCAGGAGACGGACAAATACTTCACAAAGGAGCATGACCTTTATCATATTAACGAGGTTTTCACCCTCAGCTCTTATGCTTCATTCCTCTACGACTGTCTTTCCTCATGAAAGCTTATAACTTTCAACAACAATCTTGTTCTCATCACTGAATCTTATGTGTAAACAAGAAATCTTCTCATTCTAATGTATATACCTACTAAGCTTTTCATTTGGTTGCGTTTTAATCGATCAATTTAGGAGACGGACCAAATGGAGTACATAATCCCGGAGGAGACCACATTGGAGCATCGAGTGGGGACGTCGGACGAGGTGTTTCTAGACTTCCTGAGGAGCTTGCTGGAGATCAATCCTTGGCGACGGCCAACTGCGAGGGAAGCCCTTCAACATCCTTGGCTCTCTCATTCATACCACCACAGCCACCACTCTTCTACTTGAAGTTACTGACACAAACATCTTTTTTTTGTGAATCTTTGATTGTTGACACCACGAGATCGATGGACTTGTATTGTGTACAGAAAGTTGCGTGGCCTCCTTTTTCTGCTTCTCATGATCGATCTCCCATTGTTTTCAGAACCCAGAAAAGATGGCAATAACATGAAATGTTTTGACAAATGACAATAATTAAACTATAGGCTGGCGTTCGTGGGGCCGTCATGCGCCATGTGACATGTCTGTAACGTACTAACGTTAGGAAAGCCAAGAGAGAGAGAGAGAGAGAGAGAGAGAGAGAGAGAGAGAGAGAGTGAGTCCGTGGGGGTTCCCAGCTCAATTCTTGAATGTGCTGTGGCTGTGAGGCAGGGGAAAGGGAATTTGCTTTTCTTTCTCGAGTTAATGGAGGAACTTCGTGATTGTAGAGTCGAATTTTGAATTTAGTATTAGAATGGTAAGCATAGACTAACAACACTTCAGTTTCAATATGAGAAACACTCAGGTCTCAGCCCGTAGTTCTCTTGATTTTTTTTTTTTTTTGTCAAGGCCAGCCAGGGAAACACGCAGAGAATGTAACAGTGTAATCATTGTTATAATCGTTTATTGTGATGAAAGATTTGGTGATATCCAAGAAAAAGGCAGGTCTGGGATCGAGATCCTTTGGGAAATTGGATTTGACGGTGATCTATCAATAAGTACATATGAGAACCTAGATTTCATCGATTCATATCCACTCCATGTGCTAAATATAAGCTCGAGATAGAACTTCCTCAGTTTCTCAGCTGATTGGCCCAAAGAACCACATGTGAATTTGTTTTTTTTTTTTTCCCTCATCAATTTTCTCGAACGTGGCAAGTACGAAGTGCATGCAGGAAGCAGTTGGGTTAAGCTCTGCCTCTGAGAATAATTGGAAAGAGAAGGCAGGAATTTTGTGAAACCTTTTTCTGCATTTCACTGGCAGCTCAGCTGCAAAATATATACATCAGAGGTAACTACAGGACAGAGTGCCTCTAACGGCCTCATCCTCTTGTCAAGAGACAAGTGGTCCTATCTACTAATTACACGTAATATTTACACACTAAAAACTATATATGTGCAGTAAAGTTGGGACGGCAGCGTATTAGTCCAAACGCTGCTCTTCATCTTCTTCTTCTTCCTCTGCCTTGAATTCTCGACCGTTGGAACTTTCCCTTTCTTCTTCTTCTTCTCTTTGCTTCAAGGCAGAGTGTCCCATTTCCCTTGACAGTCCCCCACAAGCTGGCGAGTATATGTCATATACTCCCAGCTTGAAGAGAATCCACTTGAATCTGTGTGCACTTAGACCTTTGGTGAATATGTCGGCTAAGTTCCTGTCTGTGCACACATATTTCAGACTAATCAGCTTCGACTTTACTCTCTCCCTGATCACATGGCAGTCGATTTCAATATGCTTGGTTCTTTCGTGGAAAACCGGATTCTCTGCCATGTGTATGGTGGACTTGTTGTCGCAGAAGACGGTGGCCGGACCTTGGTACTCAACATTCAGGTCCTTCAGCAATTGGGTGATCCACTGTATTTCGCACGACAACTGGGATAGAGCTCGGTATTCAGCTTCGGACGAGGACTTCGAGACGATTGCTTGCTTCTTCGCTTTCCAGGTAATGAGCGAGTCCCCCAGAAATGTACAGTATCCTGTAATTGACCTCCTCGTGTCGGGGCAGGCTCCCCAGTCCGAATCACTGTATCCTGTTAGGGTGAAATCAGTGTTTGATGCGAAGAACAGTCCCTGACCTGGGGAGTTTTTAAGGTACCTGAGTATCCTGTGTGCGGCCTTGAGATGAGATTTCTTGGGTTGTGCCTGGAATTGGCACAATTGTTGTACTGAGTATGAGATATCAGGTCTTGTGGTGGTTAGGTAGCTTAATCTTCCAACCAGGGACTTGTACTCATGTGGATCTTCTGGTTCTTCATCATTGAATTGTGATAATCTTGTCTTCATGTCTGTGGGAGTCTTAGCTGGTTTTGAGCTTAGGAATCCTGTATCAATCAAAATGTCGAGGCAGTACTTCCTCTGGGTGACTGAAATCCCAGCACTGCTCCTCGCTATTTCCAAACCCAGGAAATACTTTAACTTTCCCAGATCCCTGACTTTAAATTCTCTTGACAGGAAGGCCTTTGCTTCCTGAATCATGTCCTGATCATCTCCTGATAGTATTAAGTCATCGACATACACTAGGATGACAGTGATCCCCTGATTTGTTTTTTTGGTGAAGAGGGAGTAGTCTGAGTAGGATTGGTTGAAACCAAATCTGATCAGGGCATCTGTAAGTCTTGCATACCATTGTCTTCCAGCCTGCTTGAGGCCATAGAGCGATTTCTTTAGCTTGCACGCCTTGCCAGGTATTTCCATTCCAGGAGGTAACTTCATGTATACCTCTTCTTCTAATTCTCCATTCAGGTAAGCATTGCTTACATCCATCTGGCTTAGCTCCCAATTCTTGACTGAGGCAACTGCTAGGAGGGTCTTGACAGTGTTGATTTTTACCACTGGGGAGAAAGTGTCTAGGAAATCAACACCATGTACTTGTGTGAATCCCTTTGCAACTACTCTGGCTTTACGCCTCTCGATTGATCCATCAGCAAGGAGTTTTGTTTTGTAGACCCACTTGCTGCCCACCAGCTTCTTTCCAGGTGGGGCATCCACTACATCCCATGTGTCATTGAGTTCTAGGGCTGTTCTCTCATCCCTCATAGCCTGTCTCCAGTGTTCTTCTTTCACAGCTTCATAATAAGATTGGGGGTCTTGGAGATTTGTGACTGCTAGGGAGAAATGCTTGTGTTGTTGGCTCAGTTGGGAAAAGTCCATGTGGGAAGAGATTGGATACTGGTATTTATGTGCAGCAGCACCTGTTCCCAAGTAGTAATCCTTGTGCCAGATGGGTGCAGTGGTTTTTCTGGTTGACTTTCTTAGATTGTGTTGAGTTACCTCAGGTTCACTTGAGGTATCTGGTGCCCCCTCTTCTTCATCATCTAGAACTTCCTCTGAAACCTCAGCATCTTGGTCATCAATGGTGTCAAAGGGGATGAACCCAGAGGGACTTGATGGGGAAGAAACAACATTAGGAACAAAAGGAACAAATGAATTATGATCTAAATGCATGTCTGATGGCATATGTGCTGAGGTGGAAGTTTGAGGGGATGAAGAAGGGTGTTCTGGTTCTGGTGAGGCTTGTTGTGTGTTTGGGGAAGCAAAGGGGAAAATGGTTTCATGAAAAAGCACATCTCTGGAGGAGAAGGGTTTGTGTGTTTTGAGGTCAAAGAGTTTGTAGCCTTTGAGGCCAGGGACTAGGCCAAGGTAAATGCATTTCCTGGCCCTTGGCTGAAATTTAGTTCTGCCAGCTTCTAGGGTGGATGCATAGCATAGGGATCCAAAAACCTTGAGGTGTGAGTAATCTGGTTTTTTGTGGTAGAGTCTCTCAAAGGGTGTTTGGTTTGATAGGATGGGAGTAGGTAATCGGTTTAGTATGTGTACTGCATGAAGAATGCAGTCACTCCAGAAATGCAAAGGTAGGTTGGCTTGGATTTTTAGTGATCTGGCTATGTTTAGGATGTCTTGGTGCTTTCTCTCCACTCTCCCATTCTGTTGTTGTCTCTCTACACAGGACATTTGGTGGTTAATTCCATGTTCTCTAAAGAATTCAGTCATATGAAATTCTTGTCCTTGGTCACTCCTAATGGATTTGATAGTTTGATTGAATTGGTTTTTGATCATAGTGTAGAATTGTTGGATGATTGGTCTGACCTCAGATTTTTGTTTCATCAGGTATGCCCAAACAGCTCGGGAATGATCATCTACTATGGTGAGGAAATAAGAGAAACCATCATAGGACTTAGTATTGACTGGTCCCCAAATGTCAGTGTGTATGAGATCAAAAGGGTGCTGGGAAGTATGTAAACTGGAAGGAAAAGGGGCTCTCTTTTGTCTTGCAAGATGACAGACCTCACAGTGATTAACATTGTCCAGAGGTAAGTCAACATTACACTTTTGAAAAATCCTAACTCTAGAATTTGAAAGGTGGCCTAGTCTTGCATGCCATAGGGCTGTTTCTTCTGTTTGGTTGAATGAGGTGGCTGCTGCAGTAGTCTTGATAGGTGTGTGGATGGTAGGGATGGTGGTCTGGAGTTGGTAGAGTCCCTTAACTTCTCTTGCAAAACCAATCCTCTTCTGTGAAGGAAGGGCCTGGATATCACAGAAGTCGGATTTGAAGGTTAGTGAAATAGGGAGAGCTTTTGTGAGAGTGCTAACTGAGAGTAGATTGAATGTGAAACTTGGAATGTGAAGTACATTCATTAGGGTGAGGTTTTGGTTGATCTGGACTGTTCCAGTGTGACTGACCTGGACTTTAGTGCCAGTGGGCAGAGTAACAAAGACATTGTCTATTGGTTGGTAGGATGAGAAAAGGGACAGTTTGCAGCACATATGATCAGATGCACCAGTATCAATGATCCATGTGTTCATTAGTTCTAAATGTTGTAGGGAAGAGAAGGAAGATAGTGTGTATTTACCTGCATTGTTTGGCATGGGAGTTAGATGCCTTGACACTGAGTGAGCTTGTGCCTGAATTGCAGGTTGTGGTTGATGGCTCCCAGCAGTTTGTTGCAGTAACATCATCAGCCTGTTACAGTCATCAGCAGTGAGCTTCAAAGTTGTCACATTGTTTGATTTGTAGGAGTGCTCATTGTCTCCACTAGGGTTGTCTGAGCCTTGTTCACTAGGGCCACCATTGTTGATTGCTGCTGCTGCATAGGCTTGCCCAGGCATTTCTCCTCTCTTCCTCTTCAGTTTCCAGCAGTCTGCTATGTTGTGGTTGGTTTTCTTGCAGTAGTTGCAGAAGAGACCCTGCTGGTTGTTGTTGGTGTTGTCATTGTTGCTCCTTGGGTTGCCACCTCCAGGGTAGTTCCCCTGGTATGTGTTTGTTCTATTCCCACGGGGGTAATCAGGTCTTTGATCCCTTCCCTTGCTTGAATTCACAGCTGCTAGAGCTACAGAATCCACTCCAGTCACTTCCTTTGTAGGCTGTTTGCCCATCTGTCTCTCAAGTTTGAGAGCATGTTTGTAGGCTAGCTTCAAGCTTGGGGCAGGATCCATCAGCAGTAGCTGATTCTTGGTGAGTTCAAAAGAGTCACTTAGGCCAATGATAAAATCAATGGTGTGGTCCTGTTCCTGAGACTCCTTAACAGCTGCATAGGTTGCACAGGACATAGTGTATGGCACACCACCACATTCACAAGCAGGTATGGATTTAAACGACAGATATTCAGTCCATAGGACTCCTAGCCTGTTGTAATACTCAGTCACATTGTTATCTCCCTGTTTGCAGTTGGCAATTAGCCCTTTAACATGAGCCAAGCGAATAGAGTCAGCTTCTCCATATCGCTCCTGAAGATCCTTCCACAGATCTTGGGCTGTCTCGTTATCCATAACAGCTTCAGCTATGGAGTCGAGCAGAGAGTTGAGTATCCAACCCATAACGTTGGTATTACTCTGATCCCAAGCTTCATAGTCAGGGTCGGTTTCTTCAGGCATAGGTAATGTACCATTAATGAACCCAAGTTTCTTCTTGGTTTTTAAAGCTATCCTCATAGATCTACTCCATACATGATAGTTAGATCCATCGAGTTTTACTGAGATGATACCTTGTGACAGGTTTTCGTTGGGGTTGACGTAGTATGGGTCGATTGGAGGTCGTGGAAGTGGCTGAGGATTTGCTCCTGCGACGGCAGCAGCTCCAGTTGTAGCAGAGGAAGTGTCATCCACGTTGGTGGCCATGGCGGCGCGTTTGCAAGGTCACTGAACCCTAGGTGAGGTGAGCCAGAAGCTCTGATACCATGAGAATAATTGGAAAGAGAAGGCAGGAATTTTGTGAAACCTTTTTCTGCATTTCACTGGCAGCTCAGCTGCAAAATATATACATCAGAGGTAACTACAGGACAGAGTGCCTCTAACGGCCTCATCCTCTTGTCAAGAGACAAGTGGTCCTATCTACTAATTACACGTAATATTTACACACTAAAAACTATATATGTGCAGTAAAGTTGGGACGGCAGCGTATTAGTCCAAACGCTGCTCTTCATCTTCTTCTTCTTCCTCTGCCTTGAATTCTCGACCGTTGGAACTTTCCCTTTCTTCTTCTTCTTCTCTTTGCTTCAAGGCAGAGTGTCCCATTTCCCTTGACAGATGTCTGATTCAGTGGTGAGGAAGCGGCAGAGACTGAATCTGAGTTTAAAATGGGTCTGATTGCATCTAATCCGAACCCCCTCATTTTCCGTCGCGATCGTCAACTGGGTTTATCATCTTTTCATTGCTTGGACACGGCAGTAGTCTATAGACAAATAGTTTTGTGGATGACGGAGTCGTTGAAGAACCAACCAACCAAACGCTGTCGCTTCTCCTTTGGCTGCTTGCTTGCAGAGTTGCTTCCCCCCTTCTTCTGTTAAACCAAGAAAACGGAAAAACGTCTCTCTCTCTCTCTCTCTCTCTCTCTCGTCGTTGCTTGTCCACTTGCACTCTGCTCACCTACGCTCCCAGCCGCGCTTACGTTCTACGCACCTCTCGTTTTTCATAGAGAGAGGTAACCCGGCCGGCGGAAGTGGCGCGTGGGTATTAACCTTATAGGAATCGCGTAGTCCCATCTCCCGGTCTTAATCAGATTCTTGCTTTTCTCATTTACTCTCTTAATTATCGTTAATTATTTTCTTTTTTTCCACTTTTTCTTTTCATATTTTAATTAGCTAAAAAACAAAAAGAAAAGGATGATAGATGCCGCTTTTCCAACGCATAAATAAATTCCAATTATCGTTGGCCTTTTAACGACTATCCTCCTCCTCCTCCTCCGCCTGACCGCCGCCGCGCCGGCGCGATCCTCCTCCGCCGTCGTATCCAACCTCGCCGGCAGTTCTGTTTCCGTACTCCGCGGACGCGGCGGGAGCGAAATCGTCTCGACTTCGGTTTCGGTACATAGGAATCGATTACTAGCCACCAGCGATGGCTGAGTTGACTCAGCCCGATGTGGTCTACTCGCCTCGCTCTCTCCAGCTATGGACGACTCTCGTGAACTGGCTCGCTTTCTTCTTCCAGATCTTCCTTCAGATCCTCCGCGCTCTCGGACACCTCCCCCTTCTCTCCTCTTCCTCCTCTTCTTCGTCTTCCCACTCCTTCAAGCCCTTGCCCGTCGTCGAACTCCCGGAGATCGATTCTTCTTCTTCTTCTTCTTCTTCGTCTCCGTCTTCTCCTTCTGCCCCGCCCACTTTGGAGATCAACGCCGGCGACCAGGAATCGATTCGGGTCCATCAGCCCCTCCAGGGACTCCACAGGCTAACGGTAAGTTCTCTCACTGGCAATTTTGTTACGATTTTAGAAAGGAATAACCTAGTTTGAGGATTGAATTTCATCTGAGGATTTTTGTACAATCGTCTGTTTGGATGGGCTGAATTAGGTCGTCCTCGACCTGGACGAGACGCTGATTTGTGCTTACGAGACGTCCAGCTTGCCGCCGGCGCTGAAAAGCCAGGCGATTGAGGGTGGATTGAAGTGGTTCGAGCTGGAGTGCATCTCGTCGGACAAGGTCCGTTTTGTTGGGCTCGCAGTGGAATTATCATCATGTTGAGATTGGGGTTTAAGTATGCTTATTATATATGTTTGAATTAAATGTGTGATTTTGGGGGATTTGAAGGAATTTGACGGGAAGCCTAAGATCAATTATGTAACGGTGTTTGAGCGTCCAGGATTGCATGACTTCCTTAAACAGCTCAGTGAATTTGCTGATCTTGTGCTCTTCACTGCCGGCTTGGAAGGTTCTTAGCTCTTATCCCTGATCTTGCCCAATGTTTCTTTGCGTTATCTGATAACATAATGGCGATTATGATGAATCGCAACTGCTAATTTCGGTGTTCCTGGATGCTCCTGCAGGTTATGCAAGGCCCCTTGTTGATATTATAGATAAAGAAAACCTATTTAGCCTTCGCCTTTATCGGCCTTCAACAATTAGCACGTAAGTCCCTTTCGCCTTCTCTGTTTAGGTTCTTAACTTGCACATGAGGAGAGAATTGTAGATGACAATCACATTTTATATGCCTATGAGATATATTTGGTACAGGCAGCTACTAACTACTGATTGGGCCCTTTAAGGATTAGATGTAGGAGTCTAGATCAAACCGTGATCTTTTGTATCTGAGTTAGGACTTAGGACTACTGTCAGGAGATCACGTTTGTTCTACTGTGACCAAGTTTGAGTGAGCAACTGAGTATTGAAGCTCTCTATGCTGCGTTTGATTGAACAGGGAGTACAGGGAACATGTGAAGGATCTGACGTGCATATCGAATGATGCTTGTCGGGTTGTTATTGTGGACAACAACCCCTTCAGCTTCTTGTTGCAACCATTGAATGGAATCCCATGCGTTCCATTTTCGGCTGGCCAACCACACGACACACAGGTAAAGCAGAATCACAGCTCACAAGTCCCACTTCATACCAGTTTGTGTTCAACTTCAAAGTCTTAAAAGGAGTGTTCTTTCTCCCCTTTTGTTCCTGACCAACCATCTCTCTCGCTTGCTCGCTCACGCTCCTCTACGCTCTTGGTGCAGCTTCTAGATGTAATCCTTCCACTACTCAAGCAACTCTCTCAGCAGATAGACGTTAGGCCAGTGCTGTACGAGAGATTCCACATGCCGGAGTGGTTCCAGAGGCAGGGGATTCCTGCTACTAGCCCTGGATGGAGATAGTATTAATATATAAGAAGTAAACCTCAGCTTCAGCTTCAGCTTCAAGTCCTCTGTACCGTCCACGACAGTTGATTTATTCCCAAGGCAGCAATGTGTTTCGTTCTTCTCTTGCGAGTTCGGCAACTACTAGCACTTCCATTTGTTTGTAGATAGCAGCATTGAATTTTTGTAAGCAAGACGTACGTCACATTGATGAAAGCAGCAGGCGAGCAAGGCGGGCACAGCACGGCATAGCTAAAGATCATTCAATTCAAGTCAATTATGTTGCTCTTTGTTGCCACTTTCATGTATGTAGATCTTTCCTATACAGTAAAAGAGACACAGTCTTAGTTTTGGGTTGTTATATAGGGCCTCTCAGTATGTTGTAAAAATTGGGTGAGGCTTCAGTCAATACAGCTTTCCTCAGTATTTCAGGCATGTAACCTGTATGGAGTGGTATAGTTAGAACTTTAAAACTGCCTGGTTTGAGCAGGGTCGTAACTATCTCAGTCCTTTCCTTCAATACATACAATCCTCAACCCGTAACAAGTTTTGTGATGTGATCAACGAAATCGATTCAAGCTAGGTGCTACACTTCACAATTTCGAAAATAACTAATGTTCTCTTAGATTGAATTAATAGATTAGTGCGGTTGATTCCTGGAAGTTTATGAGCTTTACAATTTATAACAACATCACTTTAAATTTGTGGGTCAATTTCAACTATGAGCACCAGTTGCCTCCTGTAAGGGGCAACTGAATTTCTTACACTTCAGTGCTAACATTCATCCAATTACTGATGAATCCAGTTCAGAAGCCTGATAACTGATAAGTCGTGAAAGGAACTTTCATTTTCTGTACACAAGAATGCTCCTTGCTTGTAGATCAAGGAATCTCAGCCACAGAAACGCAGAAAGTAGCCATTTTTGCCAAACTTTAGTGGCCAAAATTGGTGGCTAACTGGCTGAGGCTGAGTGACTGGGCCGCCACCTAGACCTAGGGAGTCACTTTGGACCAGGCCTACCTTTACTCCCAGAATCGTCAAACCATGAAGGTTAGCTTCCCGCTACGGCGGCCCGCTCTATTTGTGCTATAGATTTGTTGAATGTTGGGCAGTATTTCTCTCTGTTTTTTTTGGTGAGAGCAGTATTTCTCTTTTTAACCCTTAGGGTAAGTACTAAGTAAAAATATTAGGCAGTATTGTTGAACGTTGGCGTAGAGACGTACAATGAATGTGTTGTCAGTTTGTGGTAATCATGATTTGATATCCGGGCAGCAGAAGCAGAGTTAGGTATGCCATTGAAATTCAGCATTTGGGTGTGGTTACTAGTTACATCTACACACCTTGTTGAGTTGTTAGCTGCTCGAAATAGTTTTGGGTCAGGTTGTTAGCGTCAAACTGCGTGATGCGAGATTCTAAAGTGGTGGTATGTCAGCTTCAAAATGGCGTGGATTGAGATGGTGATGGACGATCAGTCAGATCATGTGCTCTATAATTGTCTTCTGCCAATATCAATTATGAAAACATTATTAAAGTTCAGAGCGATTAGCCGATTACTATAGATAGACTATTGCCTTTGGATTTGGAGCAGAATCAACTGTTCATATGGATGGATGGCATTTGGCAATTGGCAAGCAGGCAGCCCAGCCCTGCATTCCCGCCTTTCTTCTAGCAGTGGGAGTTGGTGAGATTACTGTGGGCTCCCCTCTTGGGCCTGGATGCCAGACTTTTCCCCCCCTCTGTTTGGCCAAAAAGACTGCAACTTTATAATCCCTTCCATGAAAGTTTTCAGGTGTTGATTTCAACACAAATAATGAAGGAGGTGTGAAGTTGCAGCCTCAAAGGATGGAGTTAGGATCTAAAAGGCTGGGAAGGGTCTGAAAATATAAAGGCCAATGATATTATGAGTACTTGACCAGAAGATCATCAAAATGGAAGAGGTAAAGTGGTGTAGTAGTCTAGACAAACCAAACCAGTATATAATTTCAAAGACAATTTGGGGGGGGGGGGGGGGGGGGGGTAATGGGGGTGGGTATCTTTTCTTTTGGATCTCCTATTTTATAAAGTCAATACTCATAAATAAATAATTAACAACGTGAAAGAGAGCTCCTCTAGCTAGCCTCCTCCTCTAGGGTATATATGGTTTTGCTGTCAACAACAATACGTATGAATCATCAATTAATGTCATAATTCAAGTTGTGGGAAACAACAAATATTCTAAATAAGTGATGTGAGTATGACTTGGATGACGATATCATTTTCTATCTTGATACTGTATACAACAACTTTCATGCCATAAGAAACGTATATCGTGATACTGTATACAGACTCTACCCGTTGTTTGAGAGAACAACTACAGTACGAATCCTACAATAATAGTGTCGTGGATAGCTAACCATACATTGTATTTGTGATTTTGGAAACATTGGTCTGTCAGATAAAGCAATTAGAACATCCATCAACGATTATTTGTCCACCTATATCAATATGAAACTGACATCACACAACACTCTTGCATTTCGTTTCGTAATGTGACTCTTAACTTTTAAGTGCCACAAAGAAAACATAACCAACATGACTTTTGTGCCATGGGAGAGTATATATGGTGCATGTGATGTGTGCCACCCACCTCCCCACCCCAACAACAACACATGTATATATTTATAATACTAAACCAGTGATTTGTAATGAATACACGATTGCAACAATTCCTCGGTCAGAACATGAATCACGCCACAACGCCGGCGGCAATTATTACAGCAACCCATGACCCAACACATTAGGCATCACCGGCCAGCCACTACCGCAGTCACCTTTCTCTGCCTGGATTTCGATATAACTAATGCTTTACAACGATAGCTGCCTGCCTTGTTGTGTTCTTTCTTTAGTCACCAAAAGGACCGACTGGATATTCTTGGCGTTATAATATGGTGTTGATGTTGTCGTCGGAACCAACAACAGCTATCATTACCCTCATTAGTCCACTCTTTTTTCATATACGGTGCTAGCTGCTGCACAACGTGCTGCGATTTCTTTCCACTATTTTAATGCTAAGTTCTCTTCCAATTATTTCATTTATCCCTGGTTTGCTGTAGCTTCTCTTGCATGTACTTGCATTTTCTTGGTGTGTTCTTTTGTTTATGAATGCGGTAATATTATTCATCGACTAGGTTTTTTGACGCTGCCATCAATCGACTAGTTTTGTGTTGGATATTTTGTGTAGCATATTGTTGAGCCGTCGTATTTGGACTTATTATGTATTTATAGCCAACTGATTGCTATTCAATATACTCTATAAAATGTTTGTTGATATATCCCGCACTATTTTTTCGTGAATAGAAGAATGTACATTGGCTCCTTCTCCGTCCTAAGAACCCTCAACCTACTAGCAGTCTACTTTCTTTGAATCTCTTCAACGGTCACTCGTATTGAATATACAGCTCTTCATAATGGTACCGTAGAACATTTCTTCTAAGATGTTTTGTTTGAAGTCTGCCTATCTGATACGTTCGGCTCGAGTTACTTCTTGGTAATTTATTAATCTATCAGGACGTTTTTTTTCTTCTTCTTTCTGAAATGTAATATATGTCATGAATTTATTTATTTTTCTTTGGTAGGATATCAATCTTTTAGAATGATAAATCATATCACCCTTGTAAAAGAAATGTTTTAGAATAAAATTAAATGCTTAAATACCATGCAGATACTGTCATTAAATCCCTAAATCTTGAACTACAAAATTTTTCAAACTGAAAATCAATAGTGTGCTTTAAAAATGACTTTCCACCATTCTAATATTTGATTGCCATTTAAAATCCAACGGGCGAATAATAATTAATGAATTACGGACTCTCTGATCACCTATAATAAAATAAAAAAATTTGAGGAAAAATCCTGAAAAAAAAGAAATTTTATCTATTTACTTATTTGTTTAGCAAATTTCGTTCCCGCAGGAAGGGAGATAAATAGGAAAAGGAAAAGCAAAAAAGGGCCAATTAACAGAGTCAACAATTCTCCATTAAAAAACAGTCAACCATCAATTCCGCGCACAGTTTTGATGACGTGTTATTTTACTGTGGTTTTCTTTTTAAATTTGTTAAGCGTGCACGTTGTTTACTCGCCTAGCGCGTAGACCTCTCTCGTCAAAAATGGCCCTTTTAACTTTGAGAATAAATAAGGACTTGTTTGTTTGTTTGTTTCGTGCTTTTAATTATTTTTTTTTTATGAATTGGTTTATGTTATATCATAAAAAGGATTGGTGGCAACAACCCTAGTCAACTAAGAGCTATACATTAGATCAAAACCACTAACCCCGGGCAACATCTAACAAAGCTAAAATCCTACCAAAACTTCTCTCTGATCGAGTCTGCTAGCATTATGGACACTTCATTTTTGATTACCCTACATAGAATCTCAACATCTAGTTTCTCACGAGCATAGATCCTACAACATCGCTCACGCCAAAGATGGCTCATCATCGAACTCCAAACTTCCAAAATCTTATTACTTGAAGGAACAACAAACAAAAATGGACGTCTTGCAATTTCTTTCACAAATATTGGTTTGGAGTTAACCAATGTCAATCCTAAATTCTTTTGAACATATAACAAATTTTGAATATAGACATGCACACGGAGGACTCACTTGGTGTGAGGTTAGATTAGAATGATCTAGTCAATTGGATGGTAATTTAATCAGTAAAAACATAAACGTCGCATTGTAAACAAGTTAGCAATGATTTTTTCCCATACAATACAACCGCCAACCGAAACCAAACCCACACTTCTAACTAAAGTTGTTATTTTTTTTTTGTCATGGTTCTTGCACTATATTTGAAGTCTCATTGGTCATTAGGACAATAATTAAATCTAATTTTCATAAACATTAGTTAACTATACACAACAGACATAAGTGATATAAAACTACGAAATGCAAAAAGGGACATTTATAGTTACTTGATGAACTACCCTTTAGATTCAACAAAACCTAACTTGAAATCTCATAGGCAACTTTCTTAGGGTTCAAAGTTTAGCAAAAACTCTCCACCCCATATGAGTTTTTGGTGGTGCCACCTGAACATTAGAATTCCACCGCCATTAAAAATCTTGTGAATTTAGACAATGCTTCCCACCCAAATACCAACTCGTTCACCCTAAACTTTACTAAAGGCAAATGGAAGTTGTTGTTACTAACAATTAACAAACAAATGAATCATTTACATATAGATAACTAATGGAACGAGCACGACCCGTCACTAGTAATGTGCTAACCTCTTTCGTGCTTGCATAATGAAATTTCAGCAATACAATTGATAGTAATGTGCTTGTTCTTGCAAAATACAAAAGATTGAAAGAGTACAACGTCGACACCTCTTTAACTTGTACCGTTATAGAACTATAGAAAATGGGCTCCCCAAACACGGCCTTAGAGGAACTGAAACTCATTGGCTGCTTGAATTTTCCGTTTCCTGTAAATATATAAAAACGAAAACAGCAGTCTCTCTCTTAGAACTCAGAAACTGAAAATAATAAAGCCAAGAAAACCCTCAATTTTACTCCCTCCCCCTTCCCCTCTCTCTCTAAAGCTTAGAATCGACCAAATGAATCATTCCCGCCCGGCGGAGCCCACCATCGCCTCCGCCGCCGCCAGAACACCCTGTATTAGATGAAGAACGCACCCTCCCCTGCTTTCCTCCGCCCCATCGTAGCTTTCTCAGCCTTCGCCGTCCTTTTCTGCCTTCCGTTACTCTCCCATGCCCTGGGATCCGGCTCCACCCTCGCCGTCATCTCCGGCTCCCCCACCGCCTGCGGCATCGTCTCCTACCAGGCCACTCAGAGCATCGTTTGTTTCAGACCACCAGGAGCCGGCGGCGGCGGGGGAGGAGGAGGGTATCTGCAACCACCACCACCACCAATCGTAACGCTTCAACCCAACATCTCCTTCTCCTCGATCTCCGGCGGGCAGGATTTTTTCTGCGGGGTCCGTTCCGGCGGCTACGCTCTGCTCTGCTGGGATACATTCTCGCCGGATAACAATTCCGCCATTCCCAACCAAGTCAAGCGAATCTATTTCAACACCTCGGTTCTGTTACAGAGCGTGTCTGTTGGTGGTGATCGGGTTTGCTCGACCACGGCGGCGGCCGGTGGGGATTCGGATTTGGATTCGAATTCAGGAACCGTGAGATGTTGGAGAGGGGATGAGAGTACTAGATCACAATTGCCTCCTAGTGGAGAGAGATTCAGCGAAATTTCATCTGGGTATGGGTTTTCTTGCGGGATTTCGGTTAACGGGAGCAGAATTCGGTGCTGGGGAAGCCAGCCGATCGCGCAGAGAATCGAATCGGGATTCGGGGAGATGTCGATGTTGAGTGTTCAAGCCGGAGGGTCTCACGTATGCGGAGTGAATTCGACTGGGTTTGTGGTTTGCAGGGGAGACAATTCCTCCGGACAGCTCAACGCTCCCCTGAATTCTCCGCCTCTGGAGTATTCACAGTTGGCGCTGGGAGCCAATTACAGCTGCGCTCTTCGTCGGAGCAATGGGTCGGTGGTTTGTTGGGGTGGAGACGGAGGGCTGGGGGTCAACGGGATCGAAGGAATCTTCTTCGAGTCCATCGTCTCTGGCTCGAATTTTCTCTGCGGCATTTTGTCGAACAACTTGTCGACAATTTGTTGGGGACCCGGATGGCCCAGCGCTGGGTCGAATTCGAATTCACAGCTCTTCCAGGTACTTCCATTGCCTCCAATTCTGCCAGGTCCTTGCGTCGAATCATCTTCCTGCGGTGAATGCGGCGTGTATGGAGATTCTCAGAACTGGTGCGGCGGTTCAGGGGTAATCTGCAGGCCGTGTGGGTTCAACGTTTCGACAGTAGCATCGCCTCCGCAGGAGGCGCCGTTGCCGCCATTCCCTCCATCGCAGTCGCCAATTTCACCACCGCCGCCATCATCATCAACAACAAGTTTGAGAAAGGGGTTGTTGTCGTTCGCCATTGTCGGTTCACTCGGAGCTTTTGCAGGCATATGCACAGTCTTTTACTGCCTGTGGACGGGAGCTTGCCTGGGCAGGAAAAAAGTCCACAACTCCGTGCAACCCACAATCACCAGAGCAGGCTCAAACAACGGCGGAGGATCGAACAATTCAAACAACAGCGGCGGCGGAATCACCACCATCACCTCCAGATCCTCGACCATCCGGCGGCAGAGCTCGAAAGCAATGAGGCGCCAGAGGAGCGGGACCTCATCCAAGCACGCCGAGCCCCGAGCCGAAGAATTCACCCTCTCCGAGCTCGCAGCAGCCACCGACGGGTTCGCAGCAGAGAACAAGATCGGCGCCGGAAGCTACGGCATCGTCTACAGAGGCAAGCTCGCCGACGGCAGGGAAGTTGCGATTAAAAGAGGGGAAACGAGCAAGAAGGCGAAGAAGTACCAGGAGAAAGAGAGCGCGTTCGAATCGGAGCTCTCCTTCCTCTCTCGCCTCCACCACAAGCATTTGGTAAGGCTCGTCGGGTACTGCGACGACGGAGGCGATGAAAAGCTTCTGGTGTACGAGTACATGAAAAACGGAGCTCTCTACGATCATCTCCACGACCGGAACAACGTCGAGAATTCGAGCAGTTTAATCAATTCGTGGAAGATTAGGATCAGAATCGCGCTGGACGCGGCCAGAGGGATCGAGTATCTGCACAATTACGCGGTCCCTCCGATCATCCACCGGGACATCAAATCGTCGAATATTCTCCTAGACGGGAATTGGGTGGCCCGGGTGTCGGATTTCGGGTTGTCGCTGCTGGGACCCGACCCGGAGAGGGAGTACCGTCCGACGAAGGCGGCCGGCACGGTGGGGTACATTGATCCGGAGTACTACAGCTTGAATGTGCTGACGGCGAAGAGCGACGTGTACGGATTGGGGGTGGTGTTGCTGGAGTTGTTGACAGGGAAGAGGGCGATTTTTAAGGGGGATGACGGGGAAGGGACGCCGACGAGCATAGTGGAGTACGCGGTGGCGAGGATCGCCGGCGGGGAGCTGTGGGGGATACTGGATCGGCGGGTGGGGCAGCCGGATGTGAATGAGTCGGAGGCGGTGGAGCTGGTGGGATACACGGCGATGCACTGCGTGCGGCCGGAAGGGAAGGACCGGCCGACGATGGCGGATATTGTTGTGAATTTGGAGAGGGCGTTGGTGCTTTGTGAGGGCAGCCATGGGAGCATCTCCAGCGGGACAATCTCCATTGTTTCCGAGTGAATAGTGGTGCATTTTTTTTTTTTAAAATTTGGGGGTTGATTTGATGATTTTGGGAAGATGGGGGATTAGTTGAGATAGATGATAAGAGTTTGGGGGGTTGAATTTCCATGATTCGTTGAGATTCTTCGGATAACCCAGATTGATTGATTGTTGAATTCATCAAATTCGTATATTTTTTTGGGTACCCGGCTCCTTTTGTTTGTGGTTTTCTTTCTGTAAAGAAAATTAGGCAGATAGATTGTTTTTAATTTTTAGGCTTTATTTTATTTTAGTTTTGATTGATTGTTCTTTCTTTGGAGTAGGCCATTTGCAAGGGTTAGTGGGAGATTTTCTTTCTTCTTCTTGTTAGGGGGGAAATGAAGAAAATACATATATAAAAATAGGGGAAGAAAAGGAGAGCTTCCCATCCATTCCAAATACTGCTTTTCAAACTTTTGTTCTATTGGGTTTCCCTTGATTGTTCAATGTTCATAATAATCACTCATTATTTTGAAAATAATTATCACTATTGAATTTGAATGGGAAGATTCATTATAATCAGTTTGAACGGTTTGCCAAGTAATATGTAATGCAAGTTTATTTCTAATTAATTTACAAACAATGAAAAACAATGCCATTCAAGTGGTCACATAAACGTCCCTTAATCATTAAGTTATTTTTTTATGTCTCGAAACATGGTGATCTACCATTGAGAATGTTCCAAATCATATAATGATTCCGTGAGATATAGTGAACAATTTTATTTTCTTCTCTCCATGTTTGTTGTTCATATTTTCTCTAGCAATAGTAATTATGGAACCAAATGATTGTGTCATCTTTGAGGGGGGGAAAAAGTAGAGGACCCAAAGAGAATTTGTTGCAAAATTTTCCATGTCAACATTGGCCTTCCAATTCCAAGTCATCTGTATCAAAACTGTGAACAGGCAAGGAAAAGAAACCATGAATAAAACCACCAGTCATTAATATAATTGCATTTTTAATAGCGCATTTGAAAATGACACCCAAACTCCCAAAACATTTTTTTTAAAAAAAAAAAGCAATTAAACAATACAAAATTTTCATGTTGAGAGTCAGAATCACGAAAACACAAAAATAAAAAATTTTCTAAAAATTATAAGTAGAGACAGAATTCCTACATTCTTTGAAATCGCGAGATTCAAAGGATTATTCTTTCAAACTCAATAGTAGGTTACCAAGGGTTCCCTTTTGTTCCATGCAAGGGGAGACTTTTCAGCTCCCCGGAAATAGATGGAGATACCCAGCAAGAAAGAAAGAAAGAAGGCAAATGGTCCTGTTATTTTGTGGGGGCACATAAATAATTATGTTTTAATAAGTTCACACACGTTTAAAGAGCTAAATTCTTTGCTCTTTTGACTTGCTCCGAAGTTGGTGTCGCTATTTCGTTTTGGGTTTCTTTATAATTATGGAAAACCATGCGGTGCCTCCACATTTATATCAATCGCACCGTGGCTGCCAAACGGAATTTGATCATTTTAATATTTTCTCAACCAGCTGATAGTTGTTTTCTTGAGCTTGTGACCAGAGATTATTTTTAAAAAAATTAATTGTGGGAGGTGGTGGTGAGAAAGTCAGAGACGGTGGCCGGTGAACCACTTCCCATGACCCACCACCTTCCACCGTCACCGTCGTCGTCTTGCTCCTCCGGCGGCCCCCACCACCGTTGCTCCTTTTTTTGGGGGGCTGACATTTATGTAGCTGTTTGGTTAAATGTGTGTCCAAATTTATTGGGCGGAAGACTGAAGATAGATGAGTGAAAAGCGCAACATCTACAGTTAGGATTTAGGAATGAGTCAATTCAGTATTCATTCATATCCAAAACTGGTAAAAAGAAGTTGAATAGAACAAAATGAAGGAGAAGGAAATGGAAAATATATGCAAAAAAGTACTGTGTAAGGATCTTTTGTGATAAGATCTAGCTAGCTAGATTCCATTTCTCATACAATTAAATGCTTGCTTGCTTGCTGTACTTGTGCTCCAACGACTGTTAGTTAGGAGGAAGGGGACGACGACTATGAAACTACAACTAGAGAAGATTGCTAAAACTATTTATTTTCTGACAAAAGAAAAAAATTGTTAACGATTTGACTGATTTGCTACCGAATATTACTGTTATTGATTAATCCTACGTGTTAGTTAGTTTATCTTATTCGTTCAGATGCATGTATCTTCTTGAAAATGTTTTGTATTTTTGGTGTATTGGCAATAAGTAACAAGATGAGTAACTTAGTGGTAATCACATAAAACTTCAATAAAGATCACACAAATGAGATCTGTTTTCATCGAACAATTATCACTCTCCACACACCATTGTGGTTGAAGTGAGTACTTTTTTGTGAGGATTCGAGCTCGGAAAGTTTAAGAAGCAAGAAATTTTTAAAGAAGGAACGAGTTCAGTGACTACGTCTTATTAATTTGGACATCTCGCTTGTTGATAGGGAGGACAATTTATTTCAAATTCGCGAGTATTTAGTATTTACTTATCCAACTCAATTGGGCTGAGTACAAAATCCAAACTCATACCCTATTCATTATAAACAGGTTTACTTGAATTTATGTAAAATAACCCGTGAACGAGTAATTGTTAACCCTAATGAAACCTGCAAAGACTCTACCATGAATTTTGGTATAGGAAACATCTTCAGGGATCAAATTATCAAGCCGTGTGAGGATTTCTAGATGTCAAAAGGGGAAAATTTCCCGCTAATCCATTATTGTTTTCCCCGGCGATGTGCAAGCATGATCGAGAAGACTAGTCGAGTGCCGGCCGGTGGAAGGGATCGATGTTGTCTCGAGTACTGGGAACATTATCTTGTCCTTCCGGTGAAAGGGTTTTCACTTTTCACCAATTTGGTACCCGGAATTCTTTTGCTTGATTTTTATATCACAGTTTGATCTGGACAGCTCAAAATGAAAGGAAGGATGGATGGATGTCGCCATCCATAAAAGCGTAGGTTTTCAGTTACTCGACCTACTTCCTTTCTTTCCAGTTTTTCATATTTGATAGTGACCACGTTCCTAGCTTGGTCCATTTCATGGAGCACGTAGTTGTGTTTCTTTTTCTTCTACATTCATTGTTGTTAAAAAGATACAGAATTTATTTTCCCCTGTACCTTGATGAGAAGGCTTAGACTTTTTGATACATTCTCAAATAGGAATTACGTGGCATAAATAATACGAAATGCAATGTAATAATACAATTTCAAATACATGGATTTCTCTTTTGATCTTTGACAAAGAGAAAAGTTAGACTCAAATTCAGGTTGTTGGATCGAACTAATTGATCAAAGACAAATTTTCAATGACAACAAAAGCACACGATTTCTAATAATTCTATTGCTTTGAGTTTTTCGAAGGGAGTGAAAAAGAACAAATAGATGGTACACGGACACTGAAAGTAGATATCCTGAAAATGTCTGTGTATAAGACTTCGTACTCGTATAATTTATGGGCGTCGAGTTTACCCAAAACATTCAACAATTCATGCAACTATATATGTGGGACTCAATATCTGAATTCTTGTAAATCGGACACTGTATTTTAACATTGATTACATGAATTCGGGATTTTGAATTTATGTATTATACATTACGCGCTATTAACTTCATAAATTCCTAAAATTTATTTATTATGCTCGTTAAATGAACTCGTACTAATTTTGATATCTAACTACCACGAGTGTACAACCGTTCGACCTAATCTTTGGTCCATATAAGTCTCTTACTATTTAACTGTAGTTTTCATGAGTTTGGTCCGGTCTGATCAGACTGTTGCACGCCTTAATGGCTGCGGCAAAGGCATATTCGACAAAGGGCGAGGATTCGTCATTTTCATTCAAATAATGGATTCATGAAACGTCCACGAACAATTATAACGAAGGAAATAAAATGCGACACAACCAGAATGGCAGACGAATCTACCCTAAATGTTGTTCACGTTGAAACTTCAACCAACCGCTCGAAGTTCATTCCGGCCGGCTCTTGTTCTGGTTTCTGTTGCTTTCAGCTACAGTACTAGTAGTATTAGACGTATCACCCAAGGTAACCCAGATACACTAAAATAATTGGTACAATCAAGTCCAACAACAACAGCAAAGAATATATACAAAGCCGTCAACCGAGGTAAACGATTACTATAATACAATGTCTCGCTAACAGATAACTATGGTATCAAATACACATCGCACACAAGGACTATCCAACAACAAGAAACAAGCAAAAAAAAGGAAAAAAAACAACGAAACGACAGCGTTTTCGCCGCATTGGCCCCTCCCATGTTCTGCCTGCCCCATCCAGAATTTTTCCAACGTACAGTAACCACACAAACCCAAAACAACAGGAGGAAGTCCAATCTTGCCCCTACCGGATAATAATCATTCTGGAAAGAATCTCAGAAAGTGACACAATAATATGCTAAACTCAAAAGGGTCTAGAATTAAATCAGTTTCTAAGTCGACAACTGCATGTGAGTGTTGTATATGTAAATCCAGGTATAAGAAGGAATCCAAACACAAGACTCTCTTATCCTGCTAGTCCCACAAATCATTCAAGCAATTATTTAACTCCTTTGCCCACAGGCTCGAACCCATCTCTCTCAATCCTAGTGTTCTCTGCTGTGTGATGCTTGTTTTATTAGAGTATATGTGAACTGTGAAGCAGCAGTTTTGAGTTATGCTTACTTGAGAGGCCAAAGGCGTATATGCTAGATTCTTGGGTGTCTTCTTTTGGTACCATGTCTTTGCTCTTCCACTTCGTTCATGTAATCAGAGAGAGCCACATTAGACCCTTGTAACCATAATACGATGCAGCTATCAGAGTAACCATGAGGATGACCACTAGAAGCAGCTTCTTCACGGCGGGGAGGATTTTCTTGTCCAAATAGTAGGGTTAGTTCATTAGTTATGCCAGCAGTAACGAAAGATGGAAGTACAATGTTTTCGATCGCCCTCTCATACGTGCCCAGCGTTGATCTGTTGGATCCACATGGTTGCAAAAACATACGCCAACATGCGTGATGCAAGATCAGAGAATGCACGGGGCCGATCCAACGACATCAAGACGTACCGAAGGACCCTCCCCTGTCAGCTTAACAGGGAGTTTGTGGCTTTAAGCTCTATCAAGGCAGGGGAAAAAAGGGATACCTGGAGTGTGGATAACTGATTTGCTTCTTGTAACCGCTGGCGTCGTTTTCTACGCCTAGAAGGCTGTGCCTAAGTAGGGCCGTCTTTCTCCTGCCATATATGTGAAAAGCATAACATGTTTCAGTTCAAAGTTGCTTAAGCCAATAATGTACAAGATGCTGCTGGCAGAGTTTTTCAGTAGTAAATAACTGATAGTGATGGATGACTTGATTTGTATTTTATCACACAAGGGGTGTTTCACTTGAATAGATGCCTACCTAACCTAGAGCTTTTTGGGTTTGGTCAGCTATCAATTCAGACAACCCTTTTTGTGGAAAACGTACAAGTAGAAGGATATATGAGTGCAGGTTTCTCTACATGGCTGATAAATTCTACCATCAATGACATTGAAAAGTTGAGATAAAATGATTCCACAAGTTAAAACTCATCACATGCAATTTGCAAACACATAGGCATAAGCAGTATTAAATGAGATTCTGGTCCATGTAAAAGGACACCAACCTTAGCATCCTTTGATGTACGCAAATGCAGTTCCTGCTCCACAACTTGAATTTTAGCCTTGCAATCTGAATTACAGGGTAGAAGTCCGAGTCCAAAGTGCTTTTTAGACACATCTTTGGGATCAGAACCAGCTACTCGATGGGCTTCCTGAACATCTTTGCAAAGCCACTCCTTTTTCAAAGTTTGACACTGACAGCGAACGGTAACCTTCCAAAAAGATAATTTACACAGTCAATATAGTTAAGTTCATAGGAAGAACTAAACTAGCATAATTTATTCCATTAGATGATCTGAAAAATCATCCTAACATTGTCTTTATCCAAGTTGATAGAACTCTTCCTTACCTTTTTACTGCACTTGTCAGGTGATGAACATTGACCTGGATGACATGTCTCCGGGCATAAATGTGTGCAGTTAGGCAACTTCCTGCATCACTAAAAAGGCATTAGTTTCAGAACTTCTAACATACTAATAGAACGTTATGGGACGTCTAGCGCTGACAGGTATCAGGCTATCAGCTACGATGCAACCAGACCTAATGAGATACCCAAACCCAATGCAACCTGTGGGCTGTAGCAGTAATGGCATTAACCATAAATAGAAGTATTCTCAAAATCAGTTGGTCCACATTTCATGACGGTTGACAACTTCCAACTCAAGACATCATGTGAATACATACAAATTAAAACCAGGAACATGAGGGAATATTCTTCACCATTGCCAATGGACTACCATATAGGAAGTACTTCAGCCCACTGCATCGAGCTACAATTTTGTAGCATTGTAACGGACTGTATTCTTGGATCAAGAGAATAACTTAGGTGAGTCTTGAGCCCAACATACAGCATTGTGGCCCACTCTTGGTTTGATTTTCTACTCCAGGATATATAGAAGGTAAACAGCGAAGGTGCGCCACAAGCGCAGATGTGCATTCAAGGGTCAGTCTTCTGCACCTTTGCATTTTTTAGAAAAGGAACAGTCTGAAAGTTCCATAGATCAGATCAGAGGCCTCTTTGGCTAGTCATTTTCTATTTTTATGTTCAATCGTGTAAACTTTTCAACATTTCTCATCAGGTTTCATGGTCTACAATAACTCTTGATTTCATACGCTTTGTTGTGTTTCCATATAATCACTCAAGTTATCAAAAGAAAGCAAAAAGGGTATCCAGCACATAAAAGTAGAGATAGGATTAGGAAAAGAAGAAAGAAATCAGCAGGCACCTCTCTGGTGACTATGCATACACACACGAGCATCATCAACAACCATTGGAAAAGAGAGTAGTTCTACGTACCGATGGCAGGGTCAACCACGTGAACGAACAGAAATTTGCTACTTTTTTGACAAGCTGTTGTAGTAAATGCACTCAAAAGCATGGACCATAGAACCACAGTGGCAAGACTGTTTCACAAGTGCCTTTCAAGGTGGACAATCGTCAGGATGACACTGCAAAGAACAAGGATGTGTACAACCAGGCTTCATCTCCTGTACGTGTTTAGAATATTATGTAATTACGAAAATTTGATAATTATATCCATATAGGAAAGACATGATTAATTTAGATGAAGAAGTTTCAAACAGAGAAGGTCTATTACCTTTCACAAGGAAGATTACACTTTTCATATGACTCACTTGTACCAATTTGGCCCAACCATTTTGAGGCATTGAACTTCAGAGCATGGCAAGACTTAGTACATTGGTGATTGCCACAAGGAAGAGGATTCCCGCAGAGATTTTCACAAGAAAACACGGTTTTGTCTGAGCAAACCATCTAAATTCCACACAAGAAATAGACGGCAAGTTACCAACACAGGGAAAAGAAACATCTCTTACCAAAAAAAACCCCAACAGAAAACAAACATAAAGAGAACAAGAAAAGCCATGCAATGGACCAAAACCAACATAGGTATTTTAAACAAATTTAAATGACGGAATAGAACCAACCATTCTCTCTGCAGCATATTGTTGGCCAACACATGATCTCCAAACAAGTTCTGGGCAAGGAGACCCCGGGGTAGATTCACTGTGATGAAAAGGCTTCTTCTTCGTTGGTTTAAACATGAATTCAGGTTTGGGAGGGGGCATTGGACCATGGCATCTGAAGCATAAAAACAACTATAGCTTGTTAAATCGGATATCTGGAATTACCATCCAAGTACTATATATTGATAAATGTTAATTATCTCGAAATTAAAGGAGAACCTTAATTTGCACTTATGTCCGCATGGGTACTCTTCACAAATTAACCGACAAGGTGGGCAAGCACCATAATGACACTTGTGTGGCTGGACAGAATTCCAAATTAGAAATGGTTAAACCTCTGATCAAGATAACATGTTACAATAAACAAATCACTGGAATGGATATAACAGAGGGTTTCAACAGTGTTAAAAAGTAAAAACAATGAAAAGCCTGCAAAAAGCCCAAAACTGATATAGAATTCATTTACTAGTAATACCTTGACGTGTGGCCCATGCCTGCACAAAGGAGGAATTTCACATAATTTTCGACATTTAGGAGGCTTTTGGTCCTTCTCTGTTCCACAAGGAACCTAGCAACACATCCATGACCACCAATAAATTTGCATTTTTCACAAATCAGTGCAAGGAATTCAACAGCAAAAAGCAGGAGAATAGAGAAGTTCTTGTTGCATCCTTCAGCATAAAAAAGAGAAGGCAAATTATACTTTGAAACATAATGTCCTGACAGTAGCTTTAGAAATCAGGTCAGCCAGTAACTGAAGCCTATTTCGGTAAGAACCAGTTCATACTGCTAGCATGAATAAACAGCTTCCTCCCAATATCCAACAGGGTCGGGATGAGTCAAAAAAGAAACTCACCTCAAATCGTGTTGACCACAAGCACGTGATATTGGAACCATCACAGGACAAGGGGCACAGGGACCTCTACAGAATAAGAAAATCATGATAAGCACACGAGAGCAAAGCTACAATATGAAAGCAATTTGGCTATTGGTCCCTAGAAATGCTAAATCACATAAGTAGCCCATCACATAGATGCGAACATTGTTGCAAATATATATGCAGTGTGTAGCTTGAAAGCAAACTTCTGGTGGACAAAATACCCCCAGTGCAACTCCAAGTCTTGGTCTATAATCTATGGAGCTGCATACAATAAATCATACCTATGACAAGGGGAAGGGCATCTGTGATTCTTGCACCTTAATCTCTTCCCACAAACCTGAAATTCAAAACTCAGTCACATTCTAGCAAAAATGAAGAAGATCAATTTAAGTAGGATGTTTTACGAACTTCTCCACAAGGCGGGCAATCCCCTATCACAGCAGCGACGTCTACAAGCATGGCGTCCACAATCCCTTGCTATCTGACACTTACTGTCACATGCTAAATCTTGATAGCAAGGATCTAATCTCAAGTCAGTAAAATCTAGCCCGAAAACACAATATGCAATAAACAATAAAACATATAGCACACCAACAAATATTCACTGTTTCCTGTTCCTTTTCGGCATTTGTCAAGTTGTTCTTGGACCCAACTATGAAGCAACCTTACAATCAAAAGCATATACGCTAGAACTAGATTTTACCTCTTTCTTCAGGCCTCCACAACGGCACTACTTGAAGACAACCATTCTGCAGGTCTCAGCACACTGCCCTCGGTGGCACCTTTCATGACACCTATGGAACCCGCAGCTCAACATTTTGCCACAAGTATCTCCACATAGCGGCACTGCAACAATATCACAGGACATTCCTTCATGCACTCTCTTCCCACGAGTGCAAGTCCTCCTCCCTTGCAGCGGACATCCACCACACCCTCCCGGAGGGTGACAACTGACAACCTTGCTCGCCCAGATGCTTCCCGCAGCTCAATGGTTTCTTGCATGGAATCTCACATCTGAATTTCCTCTCACAACATTTCTTCTCCTCTTCTTCCTTCTCACACAGGCAGCGATAAACCCAGCGCTCGTGACAAGGGGGACGCTCTCCATCGTGACAAATCTCTTTACATTTGTGACTCTTACAATCTAACAGCTTATTGCATCGACTATTACACGATACACATTATATCCACACCGCCGCACAACTTCAATCTTGCCGCAATAACATGATGCCTTAACCAGTTTAGGACACGGAGGGAGGGCACGGCCCCGGCTGACTCAACACCAAGCAGAAATGGCCACAATTATTCTTCAACGGACGGTTACAGAGCTCGCCGCACGAATGCGGCAAAATCCAGGGATTACCATTCGGAGCGAGTGGCGGCGAGATCGGAGGCCTGGCGAGCCCATGATTGGATGCAGAGGAGGTGGAAGACGTCGAAGCAGGGGGAGGGAAGCGCAAGACCAGGTGGGATCGGAAGGTCGGATGCGCTCCAGGCATACAAGGCATGAGAAAGCGCCGGAGGAAGAATGGAAGATGGCGGTGACGGGGACGGGATTGGATTTTTGAGAGGTCGTGCGGGGACGGGGAAACGGAGGGGGCGGTGAGCTCGAAGTAGAATTTGAAGATGGAATTGGAGAGGACGGAGTTGGACTCGCCGGCCTGAGAGCGGTCGGAATCGGAATCTGAATCGGAGAACGAGTGTTGCTTTCGAATTTCGATAAACACCCTCAGGTTCGCTGTTCGGAGTTTAAGTTCCAACACCTCAACTTTGCCTCAAGCAGGTTGATCGCGGAGTTAAGTGGGACCAAATAGGGTTTGAAACATCTGAATGAATTAACAAAATCCTGATTTAACTGTTATGTACCGCTAAAAATGGCATATTCGCCACTAATATGGCATAGTTTCACAAACACTTATATACTAATCATCATACCAAAACAACAGTGAACTATGAGCTCGGATCTCGGTGGAAGGCTGAAACTGAACTTCAGGAAGCACAAGCACAGGTGAAGCCTTTCCATTTTCCTTTTTATGCACACCATATACACATTGCAAAAACCCACCCTTTACAACAGTCGACATGAACCTTCAATCCAACACCCCAAAGACACACACCATTACCCTAACAGCCGGAGTTTTAGTTTGATGGTACATATGTTCAACTGCGATCTTCCTAGAGCTCAAGTTACTCTAGAAAAGTGTTACTCCCCTCCGTGACTGAAGTTTGAGTCCCCCTAATGAACCAGCAAAGAAAACAAAGCAACTTCCACATCCTGTATCGTCTGCAACACCAAAAAGGTCGACAGGAAGATGCCATTATTGCTCACACAGTCGCACAGCAACCTCAACTGAATCTTATGTGTATATATATAGCCAAAGAACCGCCCACTGGAAATGGGGGTTTTGGTCGATCTCCACAACTCCATCCGATTCATCTCTCACACAAAATCAAAGTGCACCAGTAGCTTGACATTGTTGTATTTCTTGCCCTCTCGATCATGGAGCGGAACAGCCCGGATTCCACTTCGTATTTCGGACACAGGGAGACAAGTTTGGCCTCCGAAATCATCCTTTTCCGACATGTCGTACTCGTGGACTTCCAGCCTCAGCAAGGCTAGTTCTGGAACAGTTAACTGGAACTCGAACTCTTCGTTCCAAACCGGTATCCAGTTGTCCTCTAATGTCTTTGTTTTCTTCATCACTACATCTGCTGGGACTCCGGCGATCCCCACCTGCTTACAAGAATGGTTAATGATGAGGCATTGAATTATCTTCGGTGATAAATATTACGATCAGTCAGAAGAGAGATGGAGAGCGAATCACAAGCAAAACTGAGTAACTGATGATTGAACTCACCCTGGTGTAGAAATCTGGTGGGGAATACTGATCAAAATGTGTGTGGCGGAAATCGTAATACCATCCTTCTCCCATGTATATCCTCACCTGTCGAACAGGCAAGAAAAAGGCGAATGAGTTTCCGTTTGGAAAAATGAGCCGCAGTGGATGTAGATTTTAATCCCAATTTTATTTATTTGTGTAGTCATCACCTTAAGAGTTTTCTTCACAGGTAACTTGGCTCTAGGGTCAAACACTTCATTGTTAGGACCTGACTTCAGTAGAAAATCTGGTTTCTTAACATAACCGCACCCTCCATTGGACTTGAACATTCCATGCATCAACCACAGAGATCTACCAAATCCCTGTAGTCAATAAACTAAGCCTAATTAGCTGAAAGGATGTTACAGTATAACCAAAGACAAAAATAAAAACTGGTGAAAGATAGTTTGTAAAGAAGCAAAGAAAGAAACTAAAAAACAGGATAACTGTTTAAAAGAAAATACCTGCATGTTAAAAGCAACCATTTGAGCTCCATGCATCCAACCGATAAGGGGGTTGTAGTTGGATGAAGTAATACGAGTGCCCTTCGGGTACACCCTCAAGATGTTTCTCTGGGTAAATCTGTCGTCTTTAACCATCAGAATTGATAAAAATAGTTCTCCAATAATCAACTTGACTGCGTTGAAGTTTTGCAGAAACTTGAAAGAATAAAGCAATAAATTGCAAAATGGGCTTCAGGAAACAAAAGGAAAGGAAGGATCTTCAAATGGTGCACACCTGACAATATCAGTACCCCGAGTCTCTGCAAGTTTTTCTAGCTGCTGCTCACTTAAGCTAAGACGCCTCACTTTCTCGGGATCTACTTTAAGACACTCACTCATACCCCCTTTAGGCTTCCCAGCATGGATAGCAATTAAACGTCTATATTCTGGTGCAAGAGACTTCTGTGATCTGTTCAGTCCTTCATCAGGATCTTCCTCGTCATCTTCATCTTCCTCAGGTTCTTCCTGTGAGAAGGACGTCAAATTAGGAGAGAAAGAACAAACACCTCCAGTTGACTCTAAAATCACATAGTTAGGGTTCACACTTACCTTGTCATTGCCTGAAGCAGGGCCTTTAAGATGTGGCACTTCTTTCCCCCACGCTTCTTCATCACTTGCAGTTTTCCCGTTTAGTGAATCACCTTCCTGGGCATCTTTGGGAACGGCAGCTGACATATACTCTTTTGGTGGTTTGGTTGATATAATAATCCGTTTCTTCAATGATTCTGGGGAGGGGAATTCTTTTAAGCAATCTGAATTAGGACAGAACAGAATGTCTCCAAATGTACTCGTGACCATCTACAAGTTCATTCCAAAAAGGAAAGGAAACATTACAATGATAATTCCCAAGAAATCAAAATCCATCCAATTAACAAACTCTTACCTCCGCGACTTTAGCCTGCAGATCTGGAGTGAGGTGGTCTTCTAGAGTTATGACTACAGGATAATCCGATGCGGTAAAGGCATGTTCTTTAATAGACCTCAAACATTTTATAAGTTCCACAGGAGTTGTCAGAGTCCTGCGCCGAGAGAAACAGTTACAGTGATTACAAGCAAGTTCAAGACTATGTAACAGGAAAAGATTATTGATGATATTCAACAATAATCTCTTCATAGAGAAATTCATCTTACATAACAACAACAAAAATCGCTGTCCTGGTTTAAAGCTGACAACTGCAGTCTAGAGAGTCATAACCAAGATAAAGAACAATAGAAAAATCTGGAAGTTGGTTCAAAAGATTTATGCATCTTTTCTTTTACTTCCATATTTCAGAGGCAGCAATGTATATCATGCCATCCATCCCATGAGGTAGACCAGAGAAACTACTAGAGTACCTTCCATGAAGAACTTCAATGCCATCCTTGTTGGAGTTCGGCCATATATCCAATTCAATAACCCTCACACCTCTCTGCAGGGCATGTATGATTGGGACGTCGCTGCAGTCACTACTAAGTTGGTTCCCAGTTAGATACGAATTGTGTCCCGTGTAAATGAAATAATGCGAAAGAGGAGCACTCATATCATGATGCACCTGCAAAACAGAGAAAATGTGCAATCGTTACAGAAGAATTTGGGATAGTTAACATAACCAACCGTAAGCCACAGCAAAAAAAAAATCAGCCAAAAGAGGCAACTTCAATCCACCAAATGACCGAAATCAAGCATCCGTAAGCAACCTCACAGGGAAACAAAGAACTGTTTGACAATTGGATTCGACTAGTCACAGGAAATGTATCTCTAAACAGAAAGTCAGAAACCAATCAAACCCACTGAGCCAAAAAGGGAAACTGATGCGAGGGAATGTTTGCTGGCTGGTACGGCTAGCAACTACTCCTGAACGAAACAAAATTCCAAAAGCGCAACCAAATCTCAACCGACAGAAACCCTCACCAGAGAGGGAAAAAAGAACAGAATTGGAAACCACAGCAAGTGAAGTAAACAGTGAGGTCAAAGGAAGAGAAAAAGGGGAAGGGGGGGAAAAAGTTCAGAACCATCTAAATTCTCACCCCGCACTGGAGGTCAACAGGAGGGTTAATGTCGCCGAAGAGGTACTTGAAGAAGGTCTCGAGGTTGAGACTCTGGCCCTTGTGGTGGTGCAAGATGTTCAAATGCTTGAGCTCGTGAAGACTGTTGATGGCAGCTTGAGCGTCCTCGAGGGTTGCATTCTCCTGCTTCTGGACCTCGATCAGGAAGCGGCGGAGGTGATCGGCCGACATGAGCCCATTCTCGGAGTAGCGGTCGAAGAAGCCTTTGATCTCTTCCGGGGCCTCGGCGACGGCGAGCTTGAACCTCCGGCGGAAGCAGAAGCAGACCCTGTAAGTCTGCTTCGACATTGTTGGGCGGGAAGAAAGAGAGATCGTGTCAGCTGGGTTTTGGGAGAATTGCCGAATTGGAGAGGTTTCCGGGACAGTGTGAGAAGAAGAAGGAAGTAGAAGATCAAAAGGAAGTGGGAAGAAGTTAATTAATTAATTAATTAAATTGAATAACATATTCCGGGGAAGATTAAGAGGAAGCGGGGCCCAGTTAATTAAATAAAACGGAAGCGGAGTGGGACAGTTGGGCTATGAGGTGGGAAGTGATTCGTCAGAGGGGGGTTGAGCTGGCACTTTGACTTTTTATTTTTATTCAAAAAAGCTTTGTTTAGGGAAAATTGTCACAATACAACTTTGTTTTCTTGTTTTGGCATTGCAGATGACTGAATATTCAGATATTTTATAACATCATGGTGGAGTCATGGACTTCTCGGGTTTGGAACCACAATATGTTGGTGGTTTTTCAGAGAAGATATCGATGGATATTGATGAAACGTCGTATTTCGAACTTTTTTGAAGTGTCAACTAACGGTCAAACGAACGAAAAGTTGACGATTTGGATATTAGATTGTTTTCGAAAAGGTTTGGTTATTATATTGTTTAAAATGAAAGGTTTGGATATTAAATTGTATTTACCCTTATTTTAATTAACAATGGTTGCACATTGAATTATTATCATTAATTCTTAGGAGATAATCCTATTAATTTTGGGAAGTCTAATGTGATGTAAGTGATGAATAATGATTAAGTAATCATGTTTTCATCACTGATTAAGTATTTTATTAGGCATTTAAAAAAAATTAAAAGTGTATTTTTATGGTTAACTCTATATTTGCGTAGATGACAAAACATAGGCGAAATATTTAATGAAATTATATATATAATTTATTATAACTTCTTTGGGAAAATCCTTTTTGTCTTCTTTCTTTTGCTCTAATGATTGAATAAGTACCTTTCGTTTCAGGAGTAGAAATGATTTATTTTGTAAAAAGGAATAAAATGGTTAATTTGAGGGGAAGCAAGGTATAAGAAGTTTAAAAAGAAGAAATAGTTAATTAATCATGGGTTAATACTTTAGTTTGGACTGAACTATACACATACTTTCTATTTTGGCCCGTGGTATTGGAAATCGCTATTCTGCCTTGAACTATGTAGCAAACTTCCTCATTTGGCCTGGAGGCGGGTTTGATCGTGGTCAAACCTGTTGACCGTTAGTCAATGTTCACTTCACCTGCCACGTCAGCTTTGAGGACATAAAAAAATATTTTTTTATTTCTGATTTTTTTTCTTCTTTCGATAATAAAAATAATAAATCAAAAAAATTAATTAAAAGAACGAAAAAGGGCCCTTTTTAGCAAATGACAAGAAAACAAAATTCAGAAATAAAAAAAATATTTTTTATGTCCTCAAAACTGACGTGGCTGGTGAGGTGGACATTGACTAACGGTCAACAAGTTTGACCGTCTAATTTAACGGTCAAACCCGCCTCCAGGCCAAATGAGGAAGTTTGCTACATAGTTCAGATCAGAATAGCAATTTCTAATACGACGGACCAAAGTAGAAAATATGTGTATAGTTCGAGCCAAACTAAGGTATTAACCCATTAATCTAAATCTATTATGTTGTTGGCTGTGGACCCTGAGCACTAAAAGAAAGGGATAATAACTTATCATGAGAAAACATAACTGTGCTGGTCTTTAGAGGTGGCAATTGGATCGGATTCGTGGATTCGTGGATTGGATTCATGGCTCCATGGATCAAATGGATTGGATCCAATGGATTGGTGGATTCATGGATTGGATCCAATGGATTGGTGGATTGATCCATGAATCCAAATAACATCCAAGGCTTGGACCAAAATGTAAATTTTGAAAAGTTTAGGTACTAAAATGTCATAATGAAAAATTTTAGGTACCAAAACGTAATTTTCCAATGATATTTTTCGTATAAAAATATAAATTTTAGGTACCAAAATGTAAAATATAAAAAATATAGGTACCAAATCGTAATTTGCCATTTGGATCTATGGATTGATCCATGAATCCACCAATCCAATTGGATTTGGATCAAATGGATTAGATTTAAATGGATTGGATTAGGTGGATAATTTGGTGGATGGATTGGATTGGATTCATGGATTTGGATCCTAATTGCCACCTCTGCTGGTCTTTCACCCTACATAGGTTTCGGCATTTTGCTACTCCAGTCCCCACACTTTTCCCTGTTCCTTTTTGGCTATCAAATTGAGTTGAAATGATGTCGGTAAAGCATGCCATTGCCATCGATTTATATAAAAAAAATAAAATCGACAAAAATTATCAATTAACTTCGGTTTGGTAGCAAAATGATGACCAAAGTTTAAATGTCAGGAATTGATCATCTAAATACGAGTATATACAATTATAAAGTTCTTGTACACTTTCATCCATGGAATAAACGAGTTCTTCTTTGAGAATTACGTCTAACCTTTTCAGAGATTTCAAATTTTCAATGGTGCAGCAGTTGAATCTAACAAGTAATACCTACACTCTAAGACCACAAATTTTGATTTGAATGCTTTAAATTTGCTGCCTAACTAATTAGTATAATTCTGCTCCAAGATTTACACATAAATTTACATACATACATACATACATAAAAATCTACAAAAGCTCAAATCCCATCAAAAGCTTTACATTATTCAGCTTCTCGCCTTTCTTGTCGTGAAGATGAACCGATCGTATCCCTCGTCTGAGCTCTGAGACGGGCAAACATGTCTGCCCACCAAAATCATCTTTCTCAGACTTGTCATGATCTCGGACCTCGATTCGAAGCAGAGCTAGCTCTGGAAGCGTCAATGGGAACATAAACTCTTCGTTCCATATGGGAGACCAATTGTCCTCGATGATCCTTGTTTTCTTTTGCGTCGAATCGACTGCTGCACCAACAATGTAAATCTGCTTGCATACACATATCCAAGTATGATAGTTTTTATGAGAATTTCCTATTCCTGGATAGTGTTGGAATGGTTTTCAGAAGTATGTATGATATACTTAAAATGGATAAACTCTATTTAAAATATTGTAGCCCATTAAGCTAACTGTTTCAGGGTCATTCTGAGTGTTTATTTGACTGTTAAAGTCGGTGAACTTAATTTCATTACGCAACTTTGTATTTTGTTGATATATGAATATTAATATGCCTAATTCGACAAACACCTATGTCATCAAATAGTTCAAACTTCAAACAGAACACAAGTCTTCTCACCTAGGTCACAAGCCTACTCCAAGACTTCTTACCAAGGAAGCCCCAAACTCTTATAGAAAGACTCTTAATCTTCCAAGCTAAGGGATCTTCTCATCCCTTCCTACAATTTCAGAACATGGTTCACTCTCTAGACCCATCTCTATCTACATCTCTCTCTACTTTACATATGTTCCTGATTATATTGTACTAATTTGGACATCAGAGTATAAATCATGGGGATCACCCCTTTTGAACATGGTCCATGAAATCGTACCGGAGACCGTACCGGAAAAGTCAACAATAGGGTATTTCATGACAAAACCGTGGTTTAAACATAGTTCAACCGTTATTATCGTTAAATACCACCTACCGATTTAATCTCCGGTCTGGTATTTTGTGGTTGAACCGTCGGTACAGTACAGTTTCATGGACCATGCTTTTGAGGAGAAAGAACAAGGAAGCCTAGATAAAAGCCCCAAAGATCATTTTTTATATCAATCGAGGTCTTGATCTTGGTCGAAACAGATAGAATTACCTTGATGTAGAAGTCTGGTGGTGAATAAGCATCAAAATGTGTGTGGCTAAAGTCGAGGCGCCATCCATCACCCAAATACACCTTGACCTATATTGATCAGAATGAATGAAATATATATGATAAAGATATCTCCAAGGCACATGATCGAATTCAACATTCAAGCAGAAACTATACATCAATTAAAGCTCACCTTCAATCGTTTTTGCACTAACAATCTTTTCCTGGGATCGAAAACCTCAGTATTATTTATGCCTTTCTTCATCAGAAAATCAGGCTTCTTCACGTACCCGCATCCTCCATTAGCCTGGAACATACCATGCATCAACCAAAGTGATTTCCCATATCCCTGCATGTTGAATGCAATCATTTGTGCCCCATGCATCCACCCCACAATCGGCTTGTAATTAGAGGACGTGATTCGTGTTCCCTTTGGATAAACTCTCAATATGTTATTTTGCGTAAATCTGGACCCAATCACAGAGCTTTTATTTGAGAGATCTTGTATTTGAATTCTAACGAAACCATTCAAAGTGGACGGTTTAGTTATGCACGTATACCTGACTATATCAGTTCCATTTGTAGTGGCGGCCTTCTCAAGCTCCTGCTCACTCATACTAAGCCGTCTGATTTTATCGGCGGCAGGGCACAATGCATCTTTTAGTGCTCCCTTAGGCTTTCCGGCATGAATGGTTATAAGCCCTTTGTACCCGGGAGGATTTAGTTGCCCTGATGATCTGCAGTCACTCCAATCTTCGTCTTCTTCATCACTAATGTTGCTCTGCATCCATGCAGTTTCATGACAAGATTCGTCAGTAATTAGTTAGATGAATAATTAGCCACATCGTATCATGCTACAAGAAAACCTGGCTATAGAAACAGATAGTTAGTAACATCGTACTCACCCAATCATCTGTTTCAAAAGTTTCAATTGCATCTTCATAATAATCTTCATTGTCATCCTCGGTCCCACTATCTCGTGGCGTTCCCTTTTGTTTGATGCCGCTCGATTCGAGATACTCCTTTGGCGGTTTGGTTGAGATCATGACTCGATATTTCAGTACTTCCGGCGAAGGCAACTGAATCAAGCTATCCGACTCTGGGTAATACAACATCTCCCCAAATATTTGAACCAACATCTACACATCCAGACACATACTAGAATTAAGCTTTCATTAATCAGTCATTAAAAAGGCAACATCATCTTATGAGATCGAAATCAAAAGGCTAAGCAATTACTAACCTCTGCAACTTTCTCTTGAAGCTCTGCTGTGAGGTGATCTTCCAAGGTGATTATGACCGGATAAGGAGAACGGACGAAAGCATAGTCTCGTATCGACTTCAAGCATTTGAAGAGCGATACAGGCGTGGTCAAGGTCCTATACAATTGATTAGCATTCATCCTCTCCAAACCACATTGATTCATGTATAGATTATTTACCTGCCGTGAAGAACATGGATCTCGTCCTTGGAGGAATTAGGCCATAAGTCTAGCTCAATCACTCGAACCCCTCTCTGTAATGCTCTTACAATGGGGACCTCGCTGCAATCACTGCTGAGCTGATTCCCAGTTAGGTAGGAATTATGGCCTGTGTATATGAAATAATGTGACAATGGCGCACACATATCATGATGCACCTGTTCAATCACATTATGCGTACTATCTGTCAACATTCCGGAAAACCCTAAATGATTGTACGTAGTTGATAATGGCTTTTCACCTGTTTGTTGATGGGGCCATTGAGGTCGTCGGAGAGCAAGAACTCGAAGAAGTCGTCGAGTTTGAGGCCATTATCGACGTACGCCGTTGAATGGTGCCGCCGTTGAAGGATTTCGGCGACGAGCCTCTCGGCTTCCTCGAGCGTGCAATCGTGCTCGCTCTGGTGATCGGTAAGGAAGCTACGGAACTGATTGGCGGTCATCTCCTGACGGCCCTCCGAATACTCGGCGAATAGATTCTGGACGTCGGCCGGCGGCTCGGGCTCCGTGATTTTGAACTTGCGATTGAAGACGCTGAACATCTTGTAATTGTAACTCCCCTTACCGTCATCGTTATTGTCGTCTGCGCTGGGGTACTCTGCCTTCTTGTTCTTCCCCATATCGTCGTTGAATCAATGATCAAGTCCCAGTTACCCTTATTTTTCTCCCTGATTTGGTTTTCTTCTTCCGGTATGTGGGAGACGGGGAGAGCGAGAGAAAGGAAAGAGAGGAGAGAAGGTGAAGAGGTTGGGGAGAGGGCTACGCCTACAATAGAGGAGACCTTGAAGAAAGATTGTCAAGTTAAGTCGTTAATCTCGTCAATCAAGAGATTTAACTAATAATCTGATTGAGACCATTGTGAAATGTTTTGTACATTTTATAACTAAATATATAAATAATTCAAAAAATTTAATGACTAAAATGAAATTTATCTTATATGTAATTATTAAAAACTCATTTTTCTAATAAAAGAAAACTTACCTAATAATTCATAAATAAATAAAAAACTTACCTAATTATCTTGATTCACCTATAGGGATGGCAATCAAACCCATGATCGAGAGTATCCGACCGCTCTGGATCTAATCAACGTGGGGAATCCCCGCAGTAACTGGATATGGGACGGGTATGGGTAAAACCCGCAAAAAAATTTGATGGGTTTGAGGTGGGTATGGTTTTAACCTCCCCCGCCCCATACCCATATCCGCCTTACCAATAATATTTCTTCACATATGAAAAATACTTAAAGTTATGGATCAAATTGAAACCTATCAATGATAATGAAGGTTAACTTAAGACAATATATAGTTGAAATGCAATTGAGTAGTCACCCAAATCTAAATCTAATTAGTTTTTTTACGTAAATTCTCCCTTCATTCTTTCACTTTTCCCTCTGGTTAACAAGATAATTATGTTAGTAAATAATTATTTAGAGTTAGATACTAATGATTTAGAAGATGTTATACTTATATCTTATTGATTAATAGATGTTTTAGTATCATACGATTCGACCATATTATGAATAATTGTATTTTGTTGACTTAATGATATAATTGAAAATTTACATATAAAGTCTTAGGTATAATGATGTTGGATGTACGAGGCGGTTATTACACATGGGTACCCGAAACCCACGAGTATGACTTATGAGGATGGGTTTCCAAAACCTTTTCCAGCATGGGTATGCAAACCCACCCAAAATCCGCTTCATTGTCATCCCTACTCACCCACTATCTCTCTTCTCTCTCTCTCCCCCATCTTCGTCTCCCTCTCTCAGGGTCAAAACACTTGCTTTTTAGAGACCGCTTTGGAGCTTCATTTTAGTCGGATCGAGTCCAACCAGTCGGCCGATAAAGGTTTAACAACCCTGATTTGAAGCTCAGTCGTGGGAGGCATCCTTATGCTAGTAATGATATCAATCTAATAAACACTTTTTCTTTGTCATGTTTTGTTTTATGTACATATAACATGATTTAGAATTGAACATGGTACGTGTGTTGAAATTATCAAGATTCGATGTAGTTTGTATTTCTCTTTGTACATAAAATGGTATGTCACATTATAACTTAACCAAATCTTAATATGTACAAATATCGATTTTGATACATTGTGATGAATCTCACGAAAACAATTCAACAATAACTAAGAAGGAAAAAAGCCTTAGCTAGCAAAATGATTAAGCTCATCTTGTTGGTTTGGGCTGTAATAAATGAGTGGAGGAGCTATCATGCATTTAATCTCGATTTAACTATTTAGTGGAAGCTCGTAAGGATAGAAACATAGTACCCTAGCACGCGATTCGATTAGAAAAATCTTCCATCAGGGAGGTTAAATCGATAAACGATATTTAACGGTATGAAGTGGTTGAACCACGATTAAACCAAAATTTTAGTACAAAATATTTTACTGTTGACTATTCCTATAGAATTTCGGGTACATATTTCAATCCTTGCTCATAAGTAAAATGAGACCTTATTTAATGATGACAAAAATTAACATTGGAGACTTGATTGGAAATTGTTAGAAAATGTGGGGACTGGCACAAACAAAAGGATAAGAGTAAGACGGGATGGGATTAGGTGCTACTAAAAACAACGAAATCACTACTGATTATTATAAAATCAATACAACATCTAAACTAAATCACTACTAACCCTTGATTAGGACGGTGCTAACTCTTGTACAATTAGCACCGTAACTCCTCCGAGTAAGACACTTCAACCGAAAAATTCCCATGAGTTTTATACTTTTATTTATTTCCTTTTCCTTCCGGCGGTGGCCGTACTCAGGCATTAGGTCACCCAATTCGTCCACTTTCCCTTCACGTTCCCGCTCTGATCCGTCAAAGCGCGGATTTTCTGGAAAGCGCTGAAAAGTCGCGAATTTTGTTTTCTGAGAGCGCGAACTATTATTTTGAGAGCGCGGTTTTTTCAAGAACTCATGTTATTCCTCTGCCCTCCCTTTCCACTCAACACTAACTTCAATTTTAAGTGGTGAAATTGTCGGTTGGGATCTCCACCCGGACGTATTTAAAGCCCTTCTTCAAACTCATGTCGACTACCGATTGAAGGACTGAAGTCAGTTGATATAGTGGTGCATGCAACAAAAAATGGAATGGTAATGAGAAAGATGAAGCCAAAACTTAAAGCTGATTTAAATAGACTAGGCAGCGGTGGAAGTGGTATTTAACCGCCACCGGAAGGACTCTGAGTCTCCTCTCTGCCTCTGTTTGTCAAAACTCGAATCCTCCTCCACCAGATCTGTATACTTTCCTCCTGGCGTCGCTCGCGACGTCCTCCCTGCCACCGGCGTTTCCTGTGCCGGTCACATTTTCGCACTCCAAAGAGCGAGAAGGGATTTAAATTGAACAAACAAAAGGGTAATATGAGATTTGAAGGTTGAGATTGATATGGATCGGGGTTTTTTTCAATCGATTTTGTTGAGGACAGATTGCAGTGAGAGGGAGAGGGAGAGAGAATGATATGATGAAGAGCAGAAGGCTACAGAGATAGGTGGAGGTGGGGGAGTGGAAAACGTAGGGTAGGAAATATAAAGGGATAAAGATCTAATATATAAAGTATTATTTTTTATGTTTACTTATTATTTTATAATATATTATTATGTTTTTCTTCTTATGAAAAATGACTAAATTGAATTATTTAATTAATATAATATTACGCTCTTATCGCGCTCTAAATATTGAGTTCTTCAAAACTAGGCGCTCTCACGCTCTCGTTCCCGCTCTCGCTCTCGCTCCCGCTCTGCGAATTGGTTACCTAACTCAGGCATCACTCATCAGTCGTCGATCGTCAATCGTCGTCTCGTCCGGCAGCTGAAAGAGGGAAAGAGGCGACTAGAGATGTCAACCACGAAGCGGCTGATCTTCGATGATCTTCTCTGGATAATAAGATAATTGTTCTCTCCGGAACCCTAGCTTTCATCCAGGTACGCCGCCCAGCCATGTTCCCTCCTCTCCATTTCTTCGATTAGCTCGATAAGCAGACGTATGGGTTAGGTTAAAAATGGAGAACTGAGCTACGAATTACACGAAACCTCAGCTCAATTCTGCTTCATATTGACTATCGCTTTCAATGCAACTGGCAGCATCGATTAAGCGACCCTGGAATTTCATTGGAGTCCATCAACGCCCAGCAAGCTCGGAGACGTATGGATTTTTCCTTTGGCCATTACGCTTCTCTGCACATCGCAAAGTCATGCTGCTTGCTAAAAGTGCGGGAAATTTTCGCGTGTTTGGAGTAGGAGAAGAAATTGGGAGGGGTTTGGAGGAAGAAGTGACTCACAAGTCTACTTCGATGTTGAAATCGGCGGGGAAGCTGCGGGTAAGAAGGTTGCTCCTTCTGATTTCTGATTCCAGATCAAACACTATCCAGGGAATTTGGATTTTCAGGTAATAAGATCGCTAACTGCACTTAGACCCATTTCAATCTCAGGTCGCATTGTGATGGGTTTATTTGGGAAGACAGTCCCAAAGACTGCAGGTAAGAGCTGAAGATCAATGAAACACAATGCAGCATTTCTTACTGTTCTTGGAAACTTGTGAATGGATGATGGATATCTTACTGTTATGAGTTTGTTGCAGAGAATTTTCAAGCACTGTTCACTAGTAGCCAAGTAACTCTTTCTCCCCCTCTCTGCTTGAGGTCTCAAACCTTTTTTTTAGTTGTGCAGTTGTTCTTGTATTTACCATAACCCAATTGCAGGAGGGAAAGGGAAAAGTAGGGAGCCACTGAGCTACAAGGGGAGCACATTCCATAGGATCATACCTCAGTTCGTGATCCAAGGAGGGGATTTCACACGTGGTGATGGACGCAGTGGAGAATCAATCTATGGCGAGAAGTTTGAGGACGAGAGATTCAAGCTGAAGCACACTGGTCCAGGTTAATCTACTATCAGTCTATCAGCAATTCATGGTTTTATCTTTTAGAGTTTCTGCGATCTTAGTGCAATTGGGACTTAACTAAACCCTGAGTAATCTTATTCCCCTGTTCTACTCGTTCCCTAATCAGGAAAAATAAGCAAGAAACAGCACAAACAAGCAGAGACGCGCAGCTTTTAACAAGTCAAGAAGCTTCTTGCATTATTCATTCCACTCGGTTGACTTACTAAAGCAAAGACATCGACAGTAGATTTGTTTATTCGGCTCAGGCCTTGTTGCCTCCGTCACGGCGGCCGTCAGCATCCTTGCCGTTCCGGTGATGGTAAGAGGAGACGAAGTTGGAGGAGAGGTCGGAGTAGAGGGAGGAAACCGTGGAGATGTTGTGGTTGATCTCCTGGATCAACGGCACGTTCTTGGCCATGTTGTCGGGGATTCGAGACTGGTGATTGTCGTTCACCTGCTGAATCAACGACCTGTTCCTGTCCAGCACCGTCTGCACTTTCCGAAATGTCCCGCTGAAATTCGCCCACATCTCCCCGTCTATTTCTTCTTCTTCTCCACCGCCGCGGCGATCGCGGCCATGGTTCCTGTTACCGTCGGCCATGCTGGATTCGGGCGGCGGAGCGGTGATCTAGCGCGGCGGTGGTTATGAGATGAGATGAGGAAGGAGAAGGCCGTGTGTGGGGAAGTTTACGGGGATTCGCGATTTTTGTAATGGGAAAACGAGAGAGAAGGAATCTCCGTGAGGAGAAAAGAGCTGACGCGAGGGAGGAGAGGTTAGTGAAGGGAGGAGAAACGGTGGACCAAGTGGTGACGGCACGCGCTAGCGTTGCGAGTAGGGGGAAGGGCAGTGGATAAAATATCTTAGGCTGATTACGGATTGGAAGAAAGATCGCAAAAGTGCGGGTGGTATCTTACGCTTTTTGACACTTTTTCGAGACTTTTTGACACTTGGAATGTTTTAGATATTTTGCGCAAGGAAATAAATATCTAGCATAGTACAAAGATGGGCCGGCCCAAGTCCAATTCCTCTACGGCCCACGGACATAATTGCTTGGGCCTACATCGTCTAGTAGAGCTAGCTGTTCTTGGCCCAATAATAGACACTTGAGAAATCTCCGCTCAGGACATTTATTCATCTGTTTCTGATTGAATGTATTACAAGTACACACTGAAAGGGATCATAAACAATTGAGATGTAAATTACTGCTATTGTTCTGTCAAGAATCTAGCAGGTGTGTATGGAGATTGGAGCTCACCTGCCTGCAGCTTCGACACTGTCAGGCCTTGGCATTTCTTTACCGACGAGGAATTCAGGATCGTCTAGAGTTTTGGACGATCTTTCTTTCTACTCGGCTGGTTTTCTTTTCCTTCCAAGAATTGAAGCTCTCTGCAATCTAGGACCGCCCATTCTCCATTTCCTAAAGGCTGCCATGGAGGATTGAGCTGCTTCATACACTATTATCCAATGGGGGCAAAAGGCAGAAGAGCAAAGATGTCAACTTCTTTCAGAACAGTAGGAATGGAAAGGGACGATTGGAAAGCTGAGTTTTAGAGACAGAATCTCACAATTGGTTTCTTCTTTGGTTAGAAAGGTCATGATTTTGGATGCTGCTGCAAATGCTTTTGTGTGTGACTTGTACAGAACCTCCTTGTACCGGGCTTTGAACGCGTATGAGACCAATAGTCCAATGCTCTTGTCGCAACTGTGTGGCACATACAAGTAGGCAAGTAAAGGGTTAGTGATATACATTGTGATGCAAGGCTCGTTAATTCTTTGGATCTTTGGAGATAAGATACTTCCAAGTTAGGGAAAAGGATATAATTTCTCTGACCAAAGCATATTTTTATATTTAAGGTGACAATGAAAGATCAAACACTTTCACATTGTTTTAGTAGTCTAGTAATACAAGCAATGAAGCAAATGAGCAGAACAATCATAAAAGCCAAACTATGGACAGTAAATTATTTCAGGAGTGCACTAAGGCAATGGCAACAGTGCTTGTTTCGCTAAACTGAGTGCAGTAATCATGCTAGAAGAAAAAGGATGTGCTGAAAGGGTAAGTGCCTCTTTGGCAGCACCAGATTCAAAATGAATGTAAAGTATACACAGAAATTCAGGGTTATGGTAATGTGGAGGAACTTACTATGGTGCTACTTTACATCCAAACTCATAGAAGTATGAGCAGCGAGATCTTAAGTCAACAGATCCAGCATCAGCCTCAATTTCTAACCTTGTACTGCAAAAAAACAGATCGGTTAGATGGAGAAATGAACTACACAACTAGTAAACAAGCTATCAAGCTATGTACGTAAGATTGACACCTAAATCAGGTTAGTTCCAACAACTGTGGACTAAACTATCAGGTAAAAACTTCACAAATTGGACTTTGAATGATTTTTCAGATCAAATTCCTTATCCAACTGAGAATATATTGTGATAAAAGGGGCAATGTAAAGAAATCAAGCAAGAGAGTGAAAGCCATTACTTTCTATTGAAACAAGCAGGAACTTTGATTGATATGGCTTGTTGCAAGTGCAAACCCCGCGCAAGCCAAAATGGCAGCTCTGCCTTTGAATCTTGTTCAACCTGAGAATAGCATATCACCAAACACTAACATGAGCACGCATCTTATTTTCCTCCCTCCTTTTAACATAACATTTCCCCCACACCATGGCAGAACTTACAAAGCCTCTTTCTGAACTTTCATCAATTTTCACCCCATTCACTGCCTTGTGGAATTGAACTGGCACAAACTGCAATCAACATCATAAAAACGAGAACTAGCAGCACTACAGGAATACAAGTTACACGTACACAGTTCACAGAGTTCTCACATCTTCTTCGGCAAGAATGTCATCAATGTCATAGTAATCCCCCATTTGTGTCTACTCTTTCTCCCCTGGGGAGTCTCAGACTATCCAGCAAGCCACTTCTTCACGCCTTTGAGATTGCAGAATCACGATGCGAAAACCGACAACTGAATATTACAGCATCTCAGGGTTAGAATAAACCCACCTCCGCACCCCGAACTCTGAAGCAAAGAGATTCCAATACCCAGAACCCAGAACTCGCTTTGTTTCTTTCCGTAGCGAAATAGAGAGATCCCAGTTCCAAGCGTTTGATACTGAGCCAAATCAAACAGAACTTGGGAGAAGAAACTCTAGTTCAGTCTCAGCAGCAGCCTGAAATTCATCGAGAAGGAGAACAATTCAGAAAGGGGTAAAGCTAATAAAGCACGAGGCGGCAACTAAGAACGAGAAAATGGATCCGAAGCATTCAAGTAGGCACTCGGAGACAGAACCCTAGAGTGGGAGGAAAAAACGGAATTGAAACACAAACTCCCAGATAGAAATCCATATTTGTATTTAGGAACCGAAGCAGAAGTTCCGCTGGCGGGAAAATTCCCCTCAAATTAAAGAAGAAGGTGCGATCTCACCTGTGGAAATTTTCTCGACAGCGATTTGGCTGGTCGGATTCTGCCCAATTTGTGAAAGTGTGGCCGTGAATATGCAAAAATGGAGAGGAGCGTGGGAATTGTCGAGAAGGGGGAAAGAAAGAAAAAGGAGGGAAACTCAAAATTATTGAAATCGGGGATTTCGCTCCTCTGCGGCTAATACGTAGTGTAATTGTGCACCCTCATTAATCGTCGTTGAAATTCTTAATCGCTCGGGTGCTAGGTACAAATGAAAGTGTGACGTCGTTACCGTAGGAGGACGAGAACTGGTCTCAATGTTGGTCATTATCAAAAAGGAACACATAGCTTTGAAGCATTTACCAAATGGTCACATATCTTTTATATTTCCTAAAAATGATATCATAACTTTGAGATTTGTAACAAAATGATTACTTTCCATCCGAAATTTTGTGCAGTTTGCATTATCAGCCTTTCATGTCACCCAAACAATTAATAGAAAACTATTGAAACCAATCTTAGCATTTAACCAATCCGTTGGAGCTATTGACAACTGAATCGCTATTCGTCGTCCTAAAATTCAAAAAAATTCGCCCTAAAATACACTTAATTGACACATTTACCCCTAATATCAATTCTAACCTAAACCGGGGAAAATGTCGCCGTCGGCCACCCAAGTATTCCTCTCGTTCGGTCCCTGCTGCCAACAAAGGAGGATGAAGAAGGTCATTAGTCGCCGCCGGAGTCGCTCCCCGCCGCCGCTAATATTTGTCGTTGCTGTCGACCAGGAGGAGGGAGGAGGGCGAAGAAGAAGGAAGGAGAGAGCGATTTATCCAAAACAGAGAATGATGCAGCTGGGAACGTGGAAGTGGAGTCGGGGAAACTTGGCCGGAAAATTTAGCGAAGTGATGGCTTGGGATTCCCAGACACTGGCGAGAGAATCGGTCAATAAATAAGAGATATTGAGAGACTCAATTATGCACAATTAAGATGGGAATTGTAGTTGGTTAAGGAAATAACAAGGAATGGAGGTCGGAGCAGATGTCTCGACAAGAAGAGGGCAACCAAAGAGAGAAATAGCCCAGGAAAGTCTTGGCTTTGGTGAAATTGAACTTACGGCCAACGATTTCTAAATGGGTTTATTCACCTGCACGGATCGCCGCCTGAAGGAAGAAAAAGACGCAGCACAATAGAGGATTGCATTTTTTGTGTTTTTTTTTGTTGGTCGGCGTCGGACAGGTTGAAATCCCGTCGCCGGCGAGCTGGGACAGGTACCTGACCAGCTGACCGGTCGCTTGCAGTCGCTGACGGATTATGAAACAAAACTTAAACAAAGGACATTAGAGTCATTTTAACAAAAGTTAGGGCGACAAATAAGGTATTTTAGGGCGACGAATAGCAATGCCCATTGACAATTCTTATTATGAGAAAAAAATGCACACTCGATCATTTATTTTTTCGGGTTTTCCTTTTGAGATCATACATCAATCCTTTAGAACTTATTGGATTGGTTACATTGTCTACTTCTATTAATTTGAAAAGTTTAGCCAGTTACAAATTTGATAGAGATCACTATTTTGTTCTAATTCGTGTCAGCTGCCATCGTTAATTCTCCTCGGCGATCATCATGCCTCTCTGGACATCGGATGGAAAGTTGGACATAAACTACTTAAATGAAAAATATGGATAGTAGAAACTAGAAACACCAAGAGTTCAAGCCTAGGAATGGCAATGGGCAGGTCTGTGGCGGGTATCTCGATACCTATACTCACTCCATGGCAGGTCGGGTCCAGGTCAAGTAATTTATTACGGGACGCGGGTGGGGGCAGGTCGACCCAATGGGTATGTAATTTATGTGAAAAATATTAGAAATATTCGTTCTTTTCATTGACAAACCAAGAAAGAAACCATAATATGATAAAATGTAATTAAATTATTGAAGAAATTGAGGTTTTCACTTATGTACAACTTTATTATAACTAAAATATAATGTAATAAGAGGAAAATTTTAAATAATTTGACTAAGATTATATGTCATTTAGGCAAGAACGGGTCAAGAATGGGGCGGGTTAGGGCAGGTTGGGTCGACGAGAGATACCCATACCCGCCCCGCCCCGCCCCGCCTACGGGACGGGTTTGACCCGCTCTAAAACAGGTCAAACAGGTCGGATAAATCGGATCAGATCGAAATTGCCATCCCTATTCAATGATTCAATCCTTCCATTCAAGGGTACGTTCGTCAACATCTCATAGGCATAAACTGATAAACACCATTTAAACCTTTATTTTGGGACATCTTAGTAACTCTTACACGATACCTAATGAAGAAGAAACTAAACTATCAAATTCCCTTTATGTGATTACTTAACGAAACGGCTAATTTTAATGGAGAAAACTGCAAACTATCGGTTTTCACCAACATTCCCAACAACCCAATCCTACTAAAGCATTCCTATTTAAGAGACTAGACCATATTAATCAGAACTGACTCAGTTTGCCTTTCTTTGACCCTCTACAAAGTGGATGATGATGCTGCTGCTGTACAAATCGACTCCAGTTCTGCTGATCCCTTTGCAGAAGAAGTTGAGTTTTTCATCTGCATCGGCAATCAATCCCATTTTTTCTGCATCTAATACTTGAGCCTGCCTGCCTCTCTAGTTTTAGTCCCATTGACTCTCCCAGTGGAAGTTCCAAGTCGACGGATTTAGAGTCCTTTTCCCATCGGCAGCTACGAGATCGTATGGAGAATCCTCTGCGAATTCAACTGGCATGGATTTCCAGTGCAAAGAGGGGCTCCAATCTGTTGCTTCTCTCAGCACCTTCAGTATCTCCTTCACCACTATTTTGCTTCCTTCTGCGGATAAGTGAATCCCATCCCTGGTTAACAAAAGAGCAGCATGAAAGAAGGGTCATTTAACGGTTTGCAGCAACAATGTTTGCTCCATGGAAGATCAAGAAGGGATGGAATCAAGACCAGAACTTACGTGAAGCATGCAGTCTCCCAGTCGCTTATCGTTTGAAGTGCAGAGTAAAGATCAACAACCTTTATGTCCAGTTCCTTGCACAGCGTTATACATGCATCCGAGTACTTTTTGCAGAGTTCATTTGTCCTAACCAGCTCGCTGAAGTATGCACTGTGTACCAAAAGCAAAGTGGGGAGAATCGGATTTCATCTGCGAGTTATATGTTCAGCAAAAGCAATGCAATCTTGTGTAGTAAGCGGGTGATGATGATGATTTACCTTGCGTTGGAACGAACTCTAACCTCATCAACTGGAGGACAGCTGAGAAAAATTATGCGTAGCGTCTTTGAAAGGCTCTGGCATTTGACAAGGAAGTCTAATGAGCAAGCAATTTGGGTATAGAGGTGATGCTAGAAAATGGGATTGAAGGGAGAGGAAGGACCTTGAGATGAAGTGCGATCTTCTTCATGTTTTCTACATACTCAGGAAGTGGAACATGAGGGCCTAACCCAGAAGAGTGTGGACCCATTGAATCGTTCCCACCAAAATACACAATTACTAAAGATGGCTGCACACTAGCATCCTGCAAATTTGGACACAACCAACCCATTTCAGCATCAGCATCAGAGATTCACCAAACCATATCTACTGCTGTCCTAGAAAATGTACAGAGACAGAAATCTAAGTGTCAAATTACGCAGGCTGGTTCTTGCCTACAATCAATTCTGGAAGCCAAAAGCAAGCCTTGAGACGGATTTAATCTCTCACAAGTCACAGCTCAGAAGGGTCTCTTCTCTTCCTATGAACCATGATGGGAGATTTCGATCAGTACTATGAATTTACCTTTGGGAAAATGTCATCGAGCACCCGAACAGCACGACGCGAGTTCCATCCGTAGTACCCTCGTAAGATCACATCTGCCTGCAAATTGCAAAACCATTTTCACACTCCAAAGTGAGGCCAAAAGGCACAAACAATCGCCCAACTGCAGAAACTAAGCAGTGAATGATGTTTTTATCAGGTTTCAATCTTGTTCCTTTCCTCACAGCAACAGATAGCACTAAAACAAACTTTCAATAATCACCAAACAAATCTGGGATGCTCCAACTGCTATGGGGGCTCAAGATTTCCATTACCTTTCATACAGCAACTCCTAAGAAAAGGACTCGTTTCAGAGCTAAATGTACGGAGAAGAGGGAAGGGGAAAACAACTAAACCGTTATGCCGATGCAGTATCGGTCTTGAATTAATAAACAGATGAAAATTCCCTAGGGAAGCCTGCGATGATTGAAGACTCCAGCGAGCTCGAATCGGCGCGGGTGGAATTTCGAGCAGAAAAAATGGAGTAAGAAGAAGCAGTCAAACAAACAAAAGGGCCGGGAAGAGAAACGAGAAAATTGCACCGGGTAACGGTGGAAACTCTGAAAAAGGAATGTAACAGAAAGGAGATAGTAGGGTGAAGTTACCCTGCGCGAGTAGATTTCGGAGAGAGAGGAACCCCAACCGCCATTGCCGAAGCTGAGCTGAACGATGGAGGAGCCGAAGAGAACGAACTGCGGCCTGGACGGTCCCACCATTCTTTCTTCCCTTTCACTTCTTATTCTCGCCCGTCGGGTATCGGATTTCCCTCCCTCTAAACCAATCTCCACCGTCTCGATTTCAATGGATTCACTCTTCTGGTGTAGGAGTAGGAGGAGAAGAAGAAGGAAGAAGTGGCAGGCGTTAATGGCGTGGTGTATAAAATAAACCAAAGAGAGAGAGAGAGAGAGAGAGAGAGAGAGTCCGGAAAGAAAGGACAGAGCAGTGTTTTAATTTGTGGTTTTGCTATTTTCTGTCACTCCCCAAAAGAGCCATAGACAAGCTGCATTTACTCCTTCAGTCCTACTTCCTACTGATGCCATTACCAGCTAAGTTCCATGAAAGTAGGGATGGCAATGGGTCGGGTTGGGTCAGGTTTTGTCAAACCCAAACCCAAACCCATGGGTTTATCTTTGAAAAAAACCCGGGGTAAAACCCACTGGGTTTGAAAAACTCAAACCCAACCCAACCCGTTGGGTATCCGCGGGTTCATGGGTACCCACGGGTTTTGTCGTAAAAAATTTACAATTACAAGTTCTTATCAAAATTAAAGTCAAATATCAATCTCTCAATACAAATTATCCATATATAAAACACCATTCTAGAAAATTCAAGCAAATCACAAATTAACTATACAAATTGTTCAACACCAATCTAGAAAACTCAAGAAAATTGAAGCAAATCACAAATTATCCATAAATAACATGTTTAATTGAAAGCTTCTTCCTTTCAATTAAGTTTCTTTACTCCCCACTCCATAACATCAACTTCATTCTACACAATTAAAAAGAAAAAATTAGACATGTCTCCACAAACATAAGTAAGATTAGTTGTTTAGAATATTAAATATACCGAAAAAATTAATTATATGGGTGGGCGGGTACCCACGGGCCGGGTTTACCTAAACCCAAACCCAACCCAACCCGGTGAATAGTGAACGGGTTTAAACCCAAACCCGGCCCAAAACCCGTCAACACGGATTTTACCCGCGTTGACCGGGTTGGGTCGGGTGGGTACCCGTGGATTCGGGTTTTGTTGCCATCCCTACATGAAACCCCATTTGCTTTGCTCCTGCTAAGCTCCATAACCATTTCTAATAAAGACCAAATTGAAGACAACAAATACAACAAACCTCAAGTCTCAAGCTTTCATTACCAGCCAAAGGTTTCATGAATCCCCACATTCTCATATTGGATACATAAAAATAAAAAAAATGTGTTGCTTTCTTTTTTGTTGAAAGTGGATAATTTATCCGTGTGTAATTATAAATGCACATACAAATTCAGTAATTACTTGAGGTCGCAAATATTCGGAAATTCACCCTATGAAAATGGATCTTGCTTTTGTTTAACTTGGCCGTAATTTCAAGTCAATTTTATTCTTTTTTTTTTTCTTTTTATCAAAGGCAAACCGAAAAGGTAGTAACACAAGATCTAGTTCACAAGATCGACAACAACTGAATATAAAGTAATTCGTATGTAATTGAATAGTTCATGGAAGAGGCCGTTTTGCTATATAATTAACTAACTTTATAAGACAAATAATAAACGAAGAAGCAGAAGAAGAAAAGAAAAAAATGAATTCCACATGCTATGCTTCATGACAATGGGAACCGCACCTAACCAAAGTTTGGGGGAACGTTGAAGAGTGAAGAGGAAAATTAAAAGCTGTGATGGCCAACTACACAGAAAGTAAATGTCTTCCTTACCATTACAACAGTTTATAGGTGCAGGGCAAGTCTGTGTATTCAATTCGCATACAGAAGAAGATACAGTACGAGATATTTTTACCCCCTATATCTAATTATCTATATGAGCATTGACTGTTTTTTTTTTTATGTATTTTCACAGCGGATGTTGAAACACTTTTTACTTTTTAGTATATGGTTTGATATTATAAATTTATAATATGGATATGTAGTTTTATATTCAGTGCACTCACATAATTGGTACATAGGGGCGGAACTATTGGCAAACAAGAGGGTTCCGTGACACTCGCTTGGATTTGGAGAAAAGCCCAAAAATTAATAATATTAATATGTTAATTCCTTAATTTCAATGTCAATTGTTAAATGTGGTATTATTAAACCACAACAAACTATATAAATTAATTTCATCTACTAATATCTACATTTCTACATTGTAGTTTATCAAGATGGATAGGAAATGCTAACTATTAGAGAAAATCACTAAATTCTTATGATAATGATATATAGTTGGAAAGAGAAAATTAGTTATCATCAATGTATTTGCTTGTGAAAATTGATTTGATTTGCTACTACCAGTTGTCAATGTTCAAGTTGATAACATTTTATGCAGTGAAACGATTGACCAGCCTTTCGCATCGAGTGAATTAAAATAGTGAATGGTTATTTGGTGTGATACATTAACTGTGAAATCTTGATAGTTTGGCCGATTCATATAGTTTACAATAATTACACAACATGAAATAGGAAACTGTATATGTAAATTTTATATGACACCCCCTTGAATAAAATCCTGGCTATGCCACTGACTATTACTATGTACTCGCCTAATAATCATTATATTATGAGACGGCGAGTATGTCAAGTCACTTGTGATATGATATACAAGAAAACACTTGAATTTGTAAAATCATTCAAAATTTGGGTTCTTTAGAGTTTAGCGATTTAGGGTCGGGGTTTAGAATTTACAATTTGGGGTTTAGGTTTACAATTTGGGATGATATTTTTTTATAGGTTAGGATATTGTATTGATTAGTCGTGATCCTACATTGTGTAATTATATTAGACTAATGTTACCAATTAAAATTCAAAATTCAATGTCTTAAAACTAGTTTTAGAGTTGGGTGCATAGTATGCGCTCATTTTTGTGAGTGCATCTATATAATAGCCATTTTATAGGAGGTGGTATAAGTTTGTTTTTAATTAGTTTCTACTTCAGAGATCCGGAACAGAAAACCTCCAAATTTAAGACCAGTGATATTATCGTTGGATCCCGTCTTGTTCGCTATATATGATAGGCAGATGTTAGAAACTAACAAGTCCATGAGATGTGAATATTATTGCTAATCTACTCACTCTAATTTCTTCACTCTTCACAACTGACCCTTTCAACGTGATTTTTCTAGTGACCGAGAAGGTGATGGGAACCGAGTAGAATGATGCATGAAAAGATTTGCAGGATGGGAAGAGTGGACTCCGGAGGAGTTACGTGGAATGGTTGAGGGGAAGACAGCCCATTAAACTTCCACAACTGCTCCAATGCTTCCAATTAATGAACTCAACCCAAAAATTTTCAAACAAGGATTTAAATTGTTGAGATTATAATGGTCCAACTCCAAAAGCAAATGTCAAATTTAATCGTTAATATCACTCTACTTATTATTCAAGAGATGAACATTACACGAACACCACATATTAAAAACACGAATGTCACGTATTACAGTTTACACTACTATGTCGCAATCCCGAATTTATTCAAAATAAACTAACAAAAGCAAACCAAAGAAAGTCAAATGTCGTAACAAGGATGGAAAAGAATAGCTGGCCAACCCAAGAAGATTTGGCAGCACCACATGTGGGTATTAGGGTTAGTGACCACTTATCTAACTCTGCGGCGGCCACCTAACTCCACTTCCCCTAATCTTGTAGTTGGATACTGTAACATTTGCATCCGGTCAACTTTCGAATAAGATGGCAAAATAATCTATCGTGAATATCTAATTGAATTTTCGATTTTGTTGGAGAAAATTCAATCAATATTGATTTTGGGTGAATTTTTTCTGAACGCGATAAAGAGGGTTAATTGATTTTGTGCGGTTTTGGTATTTTAAGTATCCGCACCAAACTTGCTCAAATATGTGTTATAACTATGTCCTCTCATTCAAAATACCATGTTGTTCATCCATATCACTAAAACATTATAACTATCTTTTGAATCTTAATTTTTTGTCATTTTTTCTCAGTTTTGTAAACAATATGACAGAGAAACTTCATTTTACATTAACATTAAAACAAATCGTTTATATATTTGTGCATGATTGTTTGGGGATGATGCAGATTATCCCAAATTGCATGCTGATTGATTTTGGTATACATATAACATATTACGTCCCTCATAATTTTTATAATGGGAATGGTTACGATTTTAAACATGTTTCGAAAATTATATACATGAAAACCAGTCCCACATTCACACTCGATGACTCGAACCCGTTACATCATTATTTTGGAGGCGTTCCATCAAATCCAATATATAATAGAAATGTTTATTGACTATTAACGCAACAAATTAATTTAACAATAGGAGAAATCAAACGAATGAAGTAGCTACTAGCCTACAACCAAAAAAACGAATGAAATAGAGCTAAAGACAGCTCTAGTCATCCCATCTCAACTCATAGATAAGTGATTATTTCAGCACGTCCAAACAAATGAACAATGGTGCGGCCAATGTGCTATTTGGGTGCCTCCAAAATGATACAACAACTCAACAAGAATTCCTATTCATGTTTGTGTCTTCCCTCGATGGGATTTGAAAGAGCAGACAAAAATACCTGTATGAAGTGATTTGATGTATATCTATCCGCTTCCCCCTTTCCAGGGAAGAAATAAATGAGTTAGGTCCAAGTTCACAGCTCCTGCTAACTGGGGCTGTGAACGATGGCAAAGAATAATACATCTCTCGTTTTCAGATTTGTATATTAAGTTACAACCAAAATGAGAGGCTGATCTCGGTTTCCGGTCTTCACCCGGTTAAAGCTCTGCGGAATTTAAGCAGCCAAAGCGCGAACTTCATCCCCAGAAGACGAGCTTCCAACCGCAGTTCGTCCAACCACACGTCGATCCAAGCTAGGATGTTAAATCTCCTCTGCGACTTCTTTGCATCGATAACTGCCTCTGACGAGATCTTTCCAACGATGAAAAATGTCTCTAGTGATGATTCCTGCAGCTGTAAGACCAGAGAGAGCCAATCAATCACATGACAGGAATGCCTAGGTGGGGTTGGTAGTCTAGTGGCCAAAGATTAGATGGAATAACATTAGGTAGGTTAGTAAGGAATAGTCACCAAAGCATTATTGACAGCCCGTAGACAGTCGTTTGTCTTCAGCATCAACAGAATTACTCGGGGAAGCCTCCTCAGGAGCTCAGAGATCTGGGGGAAATACTGAGATGCGTACATCTGGAGAAGGTGACAGAAAACCAAGTGCAAAGATCAGCAAAATTATCCACCAAGGCTAACAAGTAGGGATGAACAAACACACCCGCAAACCGACCCACCCGTCCAACCCGACCCAACCCACCCGTATTTATCGCTAAAACGAAAGTTTTGGGTTGGGTGAGGGTTTTCTTTTGTACAAC